TTGAACTTACATTACTAGATTACTAATTAAAGCAAAAATTAAACTCGAGCTTCAAAAGGTTTAACAAAATCTTTAAGCCACCTAACTATTTCACATAAATTGAAATATCCGAAAGATCAAGAATAAAAATTGATAACCTAACCTCTCATGCTTTTGAAAACATTTTTTTAGAAGAACAGAAACGTGAATATACACCTAAAATAAATTACAAACACAAGAAAATGAAAATCAGTTGCAAAATGCTTAATCATTGCGATTAACATATCCACAAAGCGCAGCAACAACACACCCAAAATGATCCTCTTCTGGGTGCATTTTAGGTGTAACATTGTCAACACGTAACTTACTTAACTCCTTACGTACGTCTTAACCTCTTCCTAGTCCATCTCCATAAACATTGGTATTTAATGGCGACACACTTCATTTTTTCCTAAGGCAATCATATCCTCATCCATCCCTAGTCTTCTCCCATTTGAATTCACTCTATCAAAATCCAATCATGTCGTCTTCATCGCCTCAAGTTGAATCAAGGGTCCAGTTCTCGCCTCTGCCCCAAGACATTGAAGAAGGGTTCAATCAGGTTCATGGAGTTCGGGGCATCGAAATAATGTTAGAGCCAATGGAAGAACGTTTCGATTGGGAGGGCCTTGTGTTGTTGCTACGCTTGGCCTTGGTTGCAGTGTTACTCGTTTGGCTTGCCCTACACGAAAGGGAATCAAACAAACCAACGTTTGATGATGCCATTCCACCCAAATTCTTCCTCGACTCGCTCCACATTCCTCACCTTAAAGTCTCCGATGGCGAGGTATCATCGACATGGGACGTGACCTTAACCATCTCCAACGTCATGAACAGCTCCTCCCATAACATCAACATCCTAAGACTGGACGCGAAAATGAGTTATGAGGAAAACGAAACGCTGGCTGTGATCACTCCCATTATGCCCCAACAGGCGTTACGAAGTGATGTTTTGCTGTTGGAAGGGGAAGAGACGAAAAAGGTGCATTTGAAGTTGAGTACTACGGGGTGGGAGGAGAACCAACCCATTGTGGACGACACTGTCGTTCAAGCTATTGGGGAAGATGTGAAACGAGGAGTCACAAAGTTTAGTCTAAATATGAGAGTTGAGGGAGAGGTTGGGTTGGGTGATGGGTGGGTGTCAAGGTTTACTATGTATCCCAAATGCAGCAATTTGGACGTCAAGTTTGTGGCGGCAAATGAGAAGGGTGTGTTGGGCAAAATGATAGACCCCAAGCCTAGAGAGTGTGTTGGTCTGATCGAATGGGGACCTGTGAAAGATTTATAGTAGATAGTGATGTATATATATTGTTTGGACATTACTTTTTGCAGTTCTTGTATATGCCTTCTTAATTGTATAGTGCTCTTTTTATTTTTGAAAGAAAAAGTAGTCTCCAAGCATGGTCCACGATTCTACCGCAAGCAAATTATAAAGTTATGCACGTCTTTTAAGAGTAAAACAGTAGCTGTACACCTATAATTAGATGAATATACTAAGTGAGAGATGAAATAAAAACAAAAGAGAAGATTAAACCAATATGATGTGTAATATGTTATAATGAAAAGAAAGAGATAAAAAAAAGGCGGAAGCGAGTTAAAAATATTCCATAGATTCCTTGACTTTGGGTGGGCAAAAGATTCTCTGATTCTCATTGTGATTCTTCGTGTTGTATCACATAGGCTTGCCTTTCTTGTCATTCGGTCCGACTAAATTTTTCAATAGTAGGAATCTCTTTGTAAAACTTGAACTATTCTATTTTTGTAAATTAATTTTTAAGTTCTGCCTTTCTTTTTTAGAAATTAAAGAATTCGACGCCATATTACCAAACGCAAAAAGGAGAATCGAGCCAACATGAGATTGGAAGTCACGGTAAAAAACCGAAGCTTTCTTTAAGAAAATCCTCAAGCCAGTGTTGATTTCCAGGCCCTGGATTTTCCACTTCGGCATTTTTCTCACTCAGTTGAGAGGTAATTAACAAGGCCTTAGACGGTCCAAATGACAGGTCACTTACTGTTCTAGCTAGGAATAAGAAAACCATAAAACAAGTTCCAGAGACTCGTGAAGAATACATACAAATAGCAGCATAAAAAAAAATGTATCTATCAATGAATCTAGGTATATAATTTTATATTACACTTCTTTCTTTCTTTTTATATCTCAATGACTAAAGAAATGTGTGTTTGAATTTGATTATTTTAGCTGATTATTTAAAATAAAACTATAAACAAAACTATTTAATCTAATTTGGTATTTTTAAAAAGCATATAATTTTTTATTGACTGTTTTATAAATAAAAAAAAAACTTATTTTAGAAAAGTAAAATTTTAGAGTTTATAATTAAAATTTATTAGATTATTTTTAGTTATTTTTTATTAATAATTAATTATTTTAAATGAATAATTAACTATTACACCCAACTTCTTCTTCTTCTTCTTCCTTTTTTAATAATTTCCCACCTATAGATCTGACAAGGACTTTAGCTGTAGGAAATTCAACGTCATTTGCATGCAAAGAACGCAAAGGTATGAGGTGTCCGTTGCCCGTTTCGACCACCTGAAATTACATATAATCCTCTCATCCTCCTGTTCTCTACCAACCTATTCCACATTCTCTACTTCCTCTTTCTTCATCTGCACCAAAGAACATGGCCTCCTCAACAGCTACCATCCAACCCCAAAACGGGAGAGGACAAGATTACAGGTTTTCCCCACTTCCTCAATCAGATACCGAAACTGATCATCACGATAATCATGAAGACCAAGCCTTATCAGTTTCCGTGGAATCCCCAGTTACAAGGCCCGCCATCCCCCAAAACTATAATTCAGAAGAAATATTCAGTAATAGCGCAAGGACCTGCGAAATTATTCAGGAGTTTCTTGGGCTCACATTGTTGCTGATGCTAATGTTCTTACCTTTATATAGGCGTTTGGCAGCACCAAATGAAGACCCTGCTCCTCCCGTTTTTGTTCTTAACTCGATGTATCTTTCTAATATCACCACAGGAACTGAAGGTCTTGATGCCACGTGGAATGCCAAGTTTACGGTCAGAAACACCAACGTATCGACCATCTACTTCCGAAGCATTGAATTCACCATATTCTACAAACGAAACCCAGAAGATGCTCTTTCTGTTGCCTCTTCGTCCCCCTTTTACTTGGACATGGGGGAGTTTATGAAATTGCACTTGAAGTTCACAACAAGAGGGGTAGGGTTGGATGATAACCAGCCTTTTGTGGAGAATACTTTGGTGGAGGAGATGGACAAAGATAAGAAGAAAGATGGGTCTCTGAGTTTCGGAATGCAAATGAAGGTGCAGGCTATTTACTATGGCCAAACATGGGTTTCGGATGTGGTTATGAGCCCGCATTGTGAAGACTTGACGGTTAAGTTTCTGCCTCACGAGGTTTCCGGAAGGTTGGCTAACCCTAATAGGAACTTCTCAGTTCCTATACATCGGAAGCCTTTCTCTTTCTTTTGAATGAGTTCCATATATATGTACCTTCTTATGATTTCCCCTATTAATCTAGTGGGAACGTAGGTTGTCTCTGAAGTTGAAAAATTTTGTACGTATAAATGAGTACTAATATGTCAATTAAAGAAGCGTGGTAGACCATGAGGATGTAAATGCGAAATCAAGTGTATAAAGTTTTGTTCTTCGGTTAAATGGGAAATCATGCAAGTCCCTTCAAATTTTGTATCAAGCGATTCATTTTCTATAGTATCATTATCTATGCTAAAAATTAACATCACATGATATATATATATGTCAATAAAATACATACCTTAAAGAAAAGCTTAATGTCTCTCTCCACGATATAAAAACATCATTTTCTGATTTTATAACAGCTTTTTATTTACATGTTATGAAAATGATTTATTTTAACATTCTTAAGGCGCGCAACACAACAAAATAAGAATTGATTAAAGAAAAATTCATAAATATATTAAGTATTGCGAAAAGAAATTAAAATCAAAGTGATAGAAATATTAGTGAAGTGAATTTAAAATTTTGAGTGAAAAAATTATTATTATAATCGATTAAAAAATAGGTGGTAGGAAAAAAAGAGAATGAACACTACAAAACAAATTACATATTAATTATTTGATGCTAGATTAATATAATTTTTATTTAATGAACAGTAATGTATTAATATAAATATTACAGTTTATATTATACGTACGATTTATTGTATTAATAGATAATTTTGTTAATATATATATATATATATATATATATATATAATTATTTTCCTTCCATCCAAACATAATTTGAAAATGAAAAAAATAAATATAAAAGTTTATTACTTTAAAGTGAGGATAAATTATAGAATAATCATTGATAATCAAAGAAATTAACGATTGGTATTTTGATAATTTTTTTACTATATATGTAATGATCATACTTTTAACTGTTAATTATTCATCAATTAATAAATATTATTGTATTTTTATAATACAGTAATATCATTTTAGAGGAGTTAGGTATGAAAAAAGAAGAAGAGAAGAACTTATTTTAGAGGATATAATATTATAAAATTTTAAGATCTGGACTATTATTTTTTAATTAATGATTTATAGATGCGCTCATCTAGCTCTTCTGCAAAGGGTGTTTAAAGAGGTAAGCAGGAAAAAATAATGAAGTTAAATCCTCAGACAAACAATCCTCTACAAAAAAGAAACTTTACAAAATTAGAATGCTGTTAAAATCCATGTCTATTACACCTAATTCACAATCAACACATTTACGTATCTTCAGAAAAAATAATTGTATACGTAATCAAACACAAACAAACAACCCACACGATCTTCACGCATTTCTGTCAATCTATATTTGTGTCTTTCTTTCTTTGCCTTGAGCTCAAAAACAAAAAAAAAGAAAAACGAAAAAAATCCTAAAACATTGTTGCCCCCTTCCTCATCTCTCTCTCTCTCTCTCTCTCAATCTTATCATTGGGGAGAGAGAATCCAAGAAATGATGATGATGGATTCACCCCACAATGGAAAAGGGCCTTCAAAAGAATCATTCTCAAACGAATCCTCATCGCCACCGCCAGTGGCACCGCCCCACATGATGTATTACCAACCAGGAATGGGGTACCCTGCAGGTCATGGAGCCCAACCTCCAGCCCACCTTGGTTACGCACCAGGTTATCCCGCTTACCCTCAACCTCAACCTCAAGCGTACCATTACCCTGCAGCTCCAGCCGCCTATTATAACGCTCCACCAACCTATTACAACGGTGGCGGAGGTAATAAAGTCCTCTTCATGCGAGGCTTCATATTGTGTTTCTGCTTGTTATTCACCGGCTTGTTCATTGCCACCCTTGTTATGGCGCTAGTGTTACATCCCTATCTCCCTATTTACACTGTTAACTCCCTTTCAGTCGTGAATTTTAATACCACTCAAACCTTAACCGGTGATTGGAACATTAGCATCACGGTTCAGAACAGCAACGAAAGGCTAAAAGGCGTGTTTTCCGATTTTAAGGTGGAATTGTTGTACAACAACGATATGTTAGCAGTGAGTTATGAACCCGATTTCCAGTTGGATAACTACCAATATAAAAACATGAACCCCAAGCCCTCATCCAATGGATTGACGTTCCCAAAGTGGGAAATTGATGAAATCGCCAATCAACGAGCCAAGGGCTCCCTCCCGCTTTCTCTCAGGTTAACTTCCACGGTCTCCTTCAAGTCTACCACAATGTCCACAAGAGACAGCTTGGTAATAGCCGTTTGCAGTGACTTGAATGTTGTCTTTCGAAATGACACTGGCAATGGCGCGATGGAAACTGGAGGAGTGCCCATCAAGTGTCAACTTTTTGTGTAAAAAATCCAATGCCTGTGTGATATACATTATTTTTTCGTCTAAATGTGGGGCACAAAAGTTTTTTTTTCCCCCCAATTTTTTAGGGTAATTGAAACAAAATTAACATTCCTTCTTCCTTATGCTGTTTGGACAAAATTCAGTGCAATACCTTAAGTAGTATTAACTTTCATCTTAGCTACGTGTGTGTTGAACTTTAATACTGATATTTAATATCTAATTTATTAAAGTGAACTCTAATTTTGATTAAAGAACAATATTAACATTATTTATAATATTGTACTTAAGTTGAATTTTATTTTTCTATTTTCTCTGTTTTACCATCATTTCTTTTTTTGTGTAGCTGCACGTCTCATAAACAAAAACTTGAATTGAAATTCACCAGCGTACATAAGTATCAATGATATTGAATTAAATAAAGTGTTAAGAAAAATATATGACAAGTTATCGCTGTATATATGTTGTTCAAAGATTTGAACTTTTGAAAGCTCGTGAAAATATGATATACAACTACAGAATCGAAAGGCAAAGACAATTTTATATTTATCTATTACTTTTTTTTATCATATTATTCATCATATTTTTTTACATCCCTTTTGACGCACCTATTTAACACCGCAAAACTCGGTGTCATCATTTTCGAGCACAAATAACTTATAGAAAATATATAACTAAATTCCCAAACATGTAGTAAACTCTATTTAACTGTTTTCATCACACCACTGTTATGTTAATTTCTTGCATGTTAATAATATATAGTAAAAAGACACATTTTAATATTCTTTTAATTTCTGACCAAAAAGTGTAACTACATGCATCAATTATATTTTGACATATTTTCATAAAAAACAACCAAATCTTATCCTATAAGATATCATTGAGATTAGTCTAAAATTAAATTTTTTTAAAATCTGGTTAATCAAAAAGTTTTTTTTTTCTTCCTTAATCTTTTTATACCGAACTAAGAATGCTTCCAATCCTTTTTTTTTTCTAAGTATAAATAAGCAAATTTCTAAATTCATGCACGAGAAAGCAACAACAAATTAAAGCTCCCCACTGGCCCTGGATAATTTCTCCGCAGGCAGCTTTAGATAAACTGAACACATGCATGATCATCAGTGTTACATTTCAAGCAACTGTGAGATGGTGATATATTATTTTGGGCCTTGAATTAACAAGGATCAGCGATCAATGTTCTCAGTTTTTATCAGTCAACATGCATTTTTGGTTATTGTCGTGTTTTATTTATATCCTATCATATACATTTTCTCACTGATTAACCTTTTATTTGTTATTGGTATTTATTATTTGTTGTTTATGAAATTATAGTGTTGTTCACGGGTCCTGGGAACCAGTTTTCTATTCTTTTGGGCTGCAAGTAACCTCAGATGTTTTGTTTTTGGTCGTTAACCTTAAATGTTAATTGACAGTAAAGTGAAGATTTTTGGCTCTTTTGATGACCAACTAGGCTTTTTCCTTTCTTGTTCAACAATGACCAACTAGGCTGAACATATGAAAAATTGATTATCACGGGCTCCCAAACTTGGGCTTTTCATTGGGATGAGGCCCTGTTTGAAAAGGCTGGGATAAGTAAGAAGCATGATTTGGTTTTCCGTGATGACACGTGATGGTTTGCAACTTTGCTTAAATTGAAATTATGCACATGGGCGATCCACTACTAAGGTCTAGGACGGTGCCATTGGGTTTTTGTTCTCTTTAGGTGAGGGATTTAGTATATCGAGTTCTTGATTAGCAAATTAATTAATAGCTTGTTGAATCTTAGATCACTTTTTAGGCATATCATATGATATGAGTTGCTGCCATTGCACACAATCTGTTTGCATATCATCATCAAATATGTGGACTATGGAGAAACAAAACACATTGGATCGTTAACATAATTTTAATGGGGAAAAAAAATCATATCATCATGGTTAAAGCGGCTTATATGTTATAAATAATATCCATGACACAACCTTACGAGAAATTGATTTATGCACCTTAGTTTTGAAATTAGTGAACAGGCGATATATAATCTCACTAGGAAATAATTGATAGACGTACGTTGGGTTCGGTTGGTATATAGCTAGCTAAAGCATGTTTTGATTCTTTTCAATGATGTCTTCAAATACAAGGAAAATGCTAATTGAAAAAGTCGCCGCTGCATCAAACTAGTATGATTATATTTTGACTTTGTTTTTTATCGACCACTTACATGAACGTAGTGAAACGCAGAGAGGCAACAAATGATGTTGATGTGAATCTGCAAAATAAATCCCACATTGCATTGATATTGTGGAGAGTGTGTGTTAAGCAGGAAATTTTGTTGGTCAAGCAAGAGAAAGCATGTTTTAGTTAGTTAAAATCAATTCAACAAAGCTGGTCTTTAAAAAACAAATGGTTTAACAGAGCTCGAGTATATTGTCATAAAAAAAACATGACTATATCTTTTTCGGATGAATCTTCTAAGAGTGTGTTTAAAAATAATTAATAAGTTAAAAATTTATTTTAGTAATAGATATAATTGTTTAATAAAAATTATTTTGTTTAGCATGATGCATGACTGATAAAGGTGATTATTAATTTTTTAAATTAAGTTTTTGGCTAGTACCCAAAAATATTTGTTTTATTTTATCTCTGTTGTTTTTAAATAATTTCTTTATCATCTATTCAATTTCTAAAACTTGAGTATCTCTGCTTCTACCACGTTTAAAATATTACAAATAAATTCAACAAATATTATTTTTATAATATTAAGATATCAAGATTAAAAACAAGTAAACATACAACCAACTCATTATTGGATAATATTATATATTTGCAATATTATATCAAAATGAAAATCAATAAGTCATTATGTTATAAGGAATGTCAATAAGATGGGCAGGTATGAAGAATATGTATCTGGAAATACATGTATTTTACATATCTATTCCATATTTAAGCAGAGGTTTTAAATGAATTTCCAATTATTTGTATGCATTTGTAAATATTCATAAATATTTATCAAAAACTAAAAAAAAATTAAAAATGACTTAATTTAAGTAATTTATATATAAAAATATAATTAAAAATAAAAAATAAATTTAAAATATTATAATATTTATTATAGTAATAAGAAGAGCTTAATTTTAGTGTATTATTAGTGTGATAATTTAAATTATTACTCAATGAAAATACACTTAAAATGTAATTTTTATATTAATTATTACAAAAATTAATAATTATTATTAATATGATCATGTATGATTAGATAATAATATATATATATATATATATATATATATATATATACACACACTTCAAATGTTTTAAATTAAATTCTTACAATAATAGAATGTTAAGTTAAACACAGTTCAAAGTTATCATAAAGTAGTAAAATCAAAAACATATTTGCTTATATATACATATAGACATTTTAATAATTTTATGCTTAAAACTATTCGTGGTATAGGTATCTTGATACTTACACTCACTTTATTAACAAGGGAGAAAAAGATATTAAATTTATGAGTGTCTACAAATACAAATATTTTTATGTGGCAAATTTTAGTTTATAAATATGTACTGGTGCAAGTAATTTTGCTATTTTTAAACATTACTCCTAAAGTAAATATTATATTTATATGCAATATTTCAATATAAATAAAAACAACTTATTGTATTCCTTTCATTCAATCAATATTAGAACTCAAAAATCAATTTTCTTGCATATTATTTACAGTAGCCAATTCTTTCATTACGCATTTTGAATCAACTTTCAAATCTAATTTAGAAAGTAAAATACTTAATTAAAGAAAGAGCAGATTATGTTATTTTATATTAATATATTACATCTATCATATTAGTACTTTTAAAATTGCGCTTTATATTAATATAGTTTAATTTGAGATAAATGAGAATAATGTAAAGAAAACAAATTGATAAAATAAATTTATTTTAAATTAATAGTTTTCTTTAGGGTGCATATATTTTTTATTTTATAAAAAATGGGGTTCACGATTGTATTTATCTTGTTTCAACCTAAAGAAGTCAAATTTTTGTCTGCCTTTAGCAGGTAAAGATGCTCTCACGGATTGCTTACTCAGCATAATTTGTCTAAATAAAAATAATTGGCCTTTAGATGATTGTTTACAAAATTTTTAAAATTGAAAATAGAACCCCACCTATTTTTTATTTATTTTTTCGTGTATAAGAAACCATGAGCCACTTCCTTTCATTATTCCCCACTTGTTTCTTTCCACCTTCATAGTATGGAGTTTTCAGCCATTCTAGAAAATTTCACATCTTCAACGTCAATCTACCCTCCATTTGCAACTTTTTAGCCTCGTTTTTCACTTTTAAATGCATCATCCGCGAATTAGAAAGCCTTCTCTGTTTAGTACTTTAATAAGTTGATATTGTTAAAAATCAATAGTTTTTTTAAATATTAACATTAATTTATTTTTATAATTCTTTTTATGTATATAAAATGGTAATTTTAAATTATTTGCATATTCATTACATAAAAAATAAAAAGAATATTAAAATTTTTCAGTAGAATCTATTACTTCTATTTTCTTAACATTAATCTTTAAAAATAAATATTAAGACAACTGTATATTTTAGTTTTTTGTACAGCAAAATTGTTACAAAATTTAGAATTAAGAAATAAATAACAATTGTAAAATATGTTTTTCTTTATTTTCTAATTATAAAATAATATATATTAAATACATTTTTAGATTTTATAGAGAATTTTTTATATTTTTTTAATTGTTAAGATATGAATTGTATTGAATATTCATGTAAAATCTTAAATATGAAAGGGGGGGAAAATGATAAAGTAGGTAAGTTCCAGAATTTGAGAAGTTCCAAGAAGATATTGTTGAGAGCATGAGTCTAACACGTAAAAACGAGTACAAACCTCGGGATCTGAAATCTCCTCAGCGTGAGTGCAATAAGTCATGAACGCACACCTTTTAATATATATTTGCATCGCTAAGCTTCCACTTCCACAATTTCACTTAATTATATATATTTTATTTTTTCGACAAACGTTCATGAATACTTTTAAGATATTAGTTAACGTTCTATTGTTTATAATATAAGATATGCATAAATAAAAATGAAAAACTTAAAATAAAAATTTAAATATTGTATTAGTATTTAAATATACTGTTATTTCGCTGTACAAATGAAGACAGCGCAAAAGACAACAATACCCGATGATACACAGTGGCAATTAAAACACGGTGGAATAGAAATTTCCGTAGACATGTGCCACATTTCGTCTGAACAAAAGAACTTTCCCTTGTTAATATGCGTACCTAGCCCACGGATATTGAACAAAAGTAATTGTTAGAGAAATAATTAAAAGATGAAAGAAGACAACATTTTAACGTTGTTAGAGATGAGGATATATAATGCCAAATTGGAAACAAAAGGATATTGTATGGTGGCCTGAAAAATGGGCAATTCTTATTCTCTTATCTGAGGCCAAATAGAATCTATAAACTAAAATAATGCATCGTGATTGTGAAATGCACCCATAAAAAGTCCCTTTAGATGCTTACTTTTTCCCTTTCTTTTTTTCTTTTGAGGAATTCAGTTAATGATGCGTTTTGTGATACTCGTCTCCATTGTGTCATTGCAACAAGTTTTGCCCCGTTAGGTTGTTGCTGTCACTGGAGCCTGGAGGTGCTGTACGGTCCACCGACACTTTTAATCTACAAGAAAAGGAAAAAAAGAAAAAAGAAGATGATTAGCTAGATGGTAATAGAATTCAAACTACATAGGTCCCATCAATTGGATGACCCAGAAGAAGGTCTTTTTTTTTTCTTTTTCTTTTGTTGTTTAGTTTATTGGCCTTAATAATAAAATAATTTAAATTTCATTATTCTATATTAAGTTGGATGACCCAGAAGAAGGTTAAAATACTGACACAGAAGAAATTGATAAAGCATATACCAACCATGCACATAAAATAGTTTTAACAAAATTATTATGACATCATGTATGCATAATTGGTGTAGAGTGGATGGTTATCAATACGTATGGTATCAAATTGCGATCGTAAATATTTGAGCAGGTTGGGATTTGTGTCAATGTATATTATCCGTGATATATTTATCCATATCTTAAATTTTAAACTTTTCTTACACCAAACCACATATTTCATAGCCAGGACTGCTAAGCACTGTGTGAAACGACACGACAAGAAGAGGAAGTGAATTTGTTAAAAAATGTGATATGAAATTGACTAGCGAGAAGATGTTGTTTACATTTGTTTCTACACTTTGAATTTTCAACGAAGAAATTGGGGGGTGGCTACTTAATTAATTTGGTGCAAGAGAGAGAGAAACAGAGTAAAGAAATACCATTGGCGAGTTTTGAATAATTAGTGTTGCTTACGTTACACGGTGAACTGGTTGTTTACAATTACTTTTGTACTTTGAATTTTCAACGAAGACATAAGTGGTTGCTTCTTAATTATTTTAGTGTACTTGAAAGAGAGAGAGGGAGAGAGAAGAGTCGCTAATTTGTGGTGTAGCGTACTACTGGTGAGTTGCGAACTGGAGTTCCTTATTTATAGCTTGTAAAAGTATCAACTGGAGACAGTAAGAGTAGCTAATTAGTGTCAACTAATGAAAGCGACGAGTTTGATAAAGATGTCATTAATACTGTACGCAAGCATTTTACATTTTCTTCATCAATTTCTTTGTATATTCAAGATTCGCCTGGAATATGAATTTGTGATTAATTTGAATAAGGATCACAATTTCTTCCTGAATTCTGAAACTTCTAAGAATTCCCTCATTTGGGGGTCCGGTTGGAGTTTTTTATTTTTATTTTTAAAAATAAAAAACCATTTTTAAAATGGAAATCAAGCTCTCCAACATCTATTATAAGCATACCTTTATTAGGGTTTTTCATGTGTGAAAGCACTATTATAGATCTGTCCAAAAAAAAAAGAAAACACATAATACCTACAAGGCTATAATACTACGGAATCACAATTCCAGTGCCTTATTATGCCAATAATTTATAACCAACAGCATTGGTACATCTCCCTTTTATGACAATAACATATATAATGGTTATACTAAAATTATTTTTTTTAACTGTTATTAAAGTTTTCTCTTCTTAACTCTCTTATTTTTCCTACTTAATGATAAATTGAAACATTTCAATGCCACCCAAACCAGGCAAATGCATTGGAGACACACCCTAAGAAGGGAGGGGGAATCTTTCAAGGGAAGAAGAGAAGTAAAAGTTATGAACTCTGCAGCCTTAACTAATTTGGGTCTCCTTAGTGTGCATGCTCTGGTTAATTAGTTTTCTTTCTTCAGTTATTACCCACAATTCATGAAATAGTAGGAATTCGATTTTAGCCCACAATACATAAAGACAGTTTCCTTAATGGAAGTGCAAATTTATTTATTTTTATTAAAGGAGTGTAATTCATTTTCACTGATTCACGCCAAGCTATATGGACTTTAGGTCATTGTTGGAGGCTTGGTGCTTCTAAGTATATTCTCAAACCCCATTAAGAAAAACCAAAAGATGGTCGGTGTGGCTGAGCTGGGAGCTTTATGTCATGATAAGTGGGCCTAATATAACGTGTCGCCGAGATGTTCTTTCCCCAAATCAAGCATCCATAAAAAGAAAAAAACATATGAAATCATAAATGATGAAGGAACTCAGACCCATGATCAACTTTCTTGATTTTTGTTTAAAAGCGTGATGATACATTAAAAAGGAAAAGAAGACAATGTCATGAAAAAATGTGTTTTAATATACTTCTAGTTTGGTTTTTTTGTTATTTCAAATATATGAAATGATAGACAATAGCAACAGAATAATGTTTTTTTAGTGTACTGATAAAAGGTAATACTTGAATCAAACTAATATAATTATTTTCCTTTTTGTAATTGAGATTTTTTAAATTGTTAAAACTTTATAAAAATATGTTAAATATTTTTAAAATTTAGGATTAATGTGTTGAAATTAATTTATCAATTTTCTAATATTTATACATTTTTTAGTCTATTTTATGTTTGATTATTTCATAAAACGTACGTTGAGCATTCTTTTGTTGACTTGGCAAGAATAAACATTAATGAAATCAATGCCATAATAGAAAATGGACAAGAGCTATCTAATATCACAAATTGGCGTAGAATGAATTTAAAAATGATACTTTTATTTAAAAAAAAAAACATTTACTATATTAAAAATACGAAAGTACAATAAATATTTTTTTAATAAAAATTTGAGTAGATTCAACACTGGCTATAATTTTTGCAGTAGTTTACATGATATACATGAGTAACCAACAAGTTCACACTGACACACATAAAATGTATCAAGTAAAAGATGAAAGTAAAAGAAGAATTAATCTTGAACATGTAGTTAAAATAATTGTTAAAATTGATTAAAATAAAATAATTTCAACCCTATATCAAAATTTATTCTCCTTTAAGTTTTGATGATTTGACTTAATAATATAAACGTTTAGTTCTTACAACCCCAGCACTCTACTAAGAAATGATACACCAACCAAGTCACGAAGCAAGAGGGAGCCACATGCAGCCCGATAGACATTGTATGCAAATAAGTCGCTAACAAGTCCGAAATATTCCGATTCCTGTCTTGTAGGCCATGAATGATCACAATTTCCCAATTATTTTTGCATACCATTTCCATGAACTCAACAGAATTATCACAAGGCTGTGATAAAGACCACCCATCACAGGCTTGTTTTGTTAATCTGTCTTTCCTAAGGCTAACGAGCTTAAGTATGCACAAAATGATGTGACATTTTAATTGACTTGGGAACTTCTAATCGAAAAGATAAAAAAAAAACAACAATTGAAATTGAAAAAAAAAATATCAATCAATCGCTGACTATGTATACATGTCTAGCTAACAAATTGATTTTACCTTAACCATCAATAATCATCTATATAATATTCTTGTATCATGTAACATGATCTTATCATATCATTTCAAACGCAACAATATTATTTATTTATAAAAAAAAAATTAACACCTTTAAAGTCATAAACTTCCAATCTCTCCTCCTTTCATCACAAAACCAGAGTCCATCACTTCTACTACTCTCTCTCTCTCTCTCGCTGAGCACTCCCTGTTGTATTAAAAGAAACTGATACATAAAAGTGGTGCCATCTCCACCTTAACGATGTCGGTGAAAGAGTGTAACCACCACAAGGGAAGGAAGAAAAAAATATTCCGGCGCATATTCTGGGGTATAGTGATCTTCTTGTTCATCGTGCTGGTGACGATTCTGATAATCTGGGCAATCCTAAAGCCTTCAAAGCCAACCTTCATCCTCCAAGACGTCACCGTTTACGCCTTCAACGCAACCGTCCCCAACTTCCTCACCTCAAACTTCCAAGTCACCCTCTCCTCTCGGAACCCAAACCAAAAAATCGGCATCTACTACGACCGCCTCGACACCTACGTCACTTACCGGAACCAGCAGGTCACCTTCCGCACCTCCATACCTCCCTCTTACCAAGGTCACAAGGAAGAGGACGTTTGGTCGCCGTTTGTCTACGGCACTGACGTCCCCGTCGCTCCCTATAACTTCGTTGGCCTCAGTCAAGACCAGTCTAACGGCAACGTCCTCGTCATCGTTAAAATTGACGGTAAAGTCCGGTGGAAGGTCGGTGCCTTCATCTCCGGCCACTACCACCTCTATGTACGCTGCCCTGCTTTCATCACCTTTGGCCCCCAGAGCACCGGCGTTGCCGTTGGCAATAACGCCGTTAAGTATCAGTTGGTCCAGCGTTGCACCGTTGGCGTTTAATGTCAACGCGGATCATACCTTGGTTGATTTGAAGATGTATTCTTCCTTCCTCTGCTCTGCTCTGCAATTTGGTATTACTATATTTAGTGTCTACATATGCTCTTTCTCATTTCTTTTTCTTTTATAAATACGTATTATTCTCTTTTGTAAGGATGGATCACTTTGTCATTAGTTATAAGTACGTGTCTTTGTTACGGTGTTTGGAATTGTACATTTTGCTATAGAATAAAAATGCACTTCTGAAATTTATGAAGGAGACGGAGCTGTTGCGAAATTACAATTTGGATGAAAAAACTGATTGTCTCGTGAATCTTCCTGTGTCATTGGTTATGACTTGTGAATGTGTATTTGCTTATCAATATTCTCTGCAGCCTGTTCTATTATTGGATCAATAATGAAGCACCAAGTAGTATTTAGATAATTTAGATGATGTTGCTGGGCCTTTTTTTTATTTTTCTCAATTTTATTTAGTGATTCATACAACTGGGGAAATGCCTACATTTGATATGTATATTCTATTCAATGACATTCCCCTTTTTGCCCTTCCCTATCACTAAAGGGATAGTGTGGTGAATATTTCCTTAATCAGAGTTTATTTAGAGGTAAATTAAGGTATATGATTGAAGGGTTTGTTGACAGTGCTTCCACGTGGTATGGTGGTAGTGGTGGTCCTTTTGAGCCACCTTACCTACCTTCCTACTACTACTAATGCGGTGAAAGAAATGGGGTTTCCCTATGTCATGCCTAGATACAAATGGATTCCCCTTATGTTCACTTATACATATTCTATTATCAAATCAGAGACTTGGACAACCCAACAAACACAACACATGCATGCTTAGCATCGAGTGTAGTTTTTGAACAGATTTGGTATTGAGCACCGTCAACATTCAAAACCGGTCAGCATGTGCATGTGATAAAATGCAACTTCGATAGCGACTCACGAGGCTCCATAAAATGTTCATCACACACTCTGAATTTAATCCCCGCATACATAGGAACGTTATTCATTATTGTATTTTACTTGCTTCTAACGGGATATACAGTAATCTTTCACATGGTCTATCTGTCACCATTGTTCAATTCACTATCATCTCTTTTGCCTCTTCTTTCTTTATCTTATATTAATATTTCACTATTTCTTAATTCTTACAAGATCATTTCTTTCTCCGCTTTTGAGGGGCTAAAAACAAGAGTGAAATATCTTACGAAATGGCATATAAAATTGACATCACAAAGCAGATGACCTATATGCGAAAAGAAGCTACGTTCTTTGAATCTTAAATTATATGACTGATTTTTTTAATAATTATTGTGTGAATTAATACATAATATGATACGCTTAAATTTATTAACAAAATTCGTTACATAATATGATGCAGCGTCATTTGTAAACAAGAGAAAACTGGTCATATTTTTTAATACTAGTATTATTTTTTAAAAGAATATTAATATATTCTATCGACACGTTAATATTAGTATAGTGCATTATTTGTTAGTATGAGACTTGAAATTCTTTATTAACAATTTAATTTTTTCGTAGTGACGCCTAAATACATGTGATATCTTCTCCATTATTAAATAATTATAATGATCATTTTCCAAAAAAACTTCATAATTTATTGCAACCAAAACAACAAAAATTAAAAGACTAAAACTTAATATAAATATATTTATAAAGATTGAAAAAATTTAAATCCTTTAACAACTATCAGAGGATCAAATCAAAGTCAGACAAACATGTGGTTAGTTGAAGTAGTTCATGTTTAGTTCTTTTTAAATAATGTTCTGAGTTTGAATCTTATATATAAAAATGGAAATTCATTAGAAAAGCTAGTTCTATCATGCTATAAATATTTTTAACTTGAGTAGTTTTAAAATAATAAATCAAGGTTAGAGTGCCTTCTTTATTTTGTCATAAGAATGGCATCCCAAAATCAAATGAAAAAATATATATATAAACAAAAAAAGAATAGCCGTACACAATGGGCCTCTAGATTGCGTTCGCTGTCGGGTAGTAAAGATGATCCCAAATCTATTTGTCATTTCTGCTTTTTAGCCCAATAGGCAAACTCACAAGCGAAGCCATGGTTATAGAGTATAAACTCAAATACGATAGAAAACCTTAACATTGATCTTTGAGAAATATTCTTTAATCGATTAAGTCTTTAAGAAGTATAGTTCATTATTTTTTACTTGAAGGTCTTCATTATTTCCTACTCCCTCTACTCTTTTTTTTTTTTAATTTAACAATTAATATATCTTAAATTTATTATATATTTCTTATAATTAGCACAACAAAAATATTCCATTTTGTTCCTTATTAAAAAATCAGTAGAGTATTTCTTTTGAGTTTTAGTTTAACAGCTTGAACTTTAAAATTTTGATGTGTAACTTTGAAATCCTACAATTCGATATTAAATTATTAACTGTACATCAGCACAAACTCAGGTAATGTCTAATTTGAAAAATATATGCTCATAATATCATATTATAACTCTCTAACTTGTAACCTGAAGAGTTAGTGCGTTAGCATAAAGTTTCATTACGTTTAACGTTATATATTAACATTTAAAATTAACAAAATTGAGGTTAAACAAATAAAATTCGATATTTGAAGTTAAATCCATTTTAATTAACTATTTGAATGTTTTTATATAGATTAGGTGAAATTAGTTTGGAAATCATGAAGAAAAATATTAAAAATATATTATGTAACATATTTTTAAAACATATTATTTACTGAAATTAATCAAAAATTATAAAATGGTCTTCTTTTGCATTAAAGAAGTAATTGTATTTTCTGTTCTTTCAATTTAGATTATACGAAATTTTTGTTTCTTTTTTTATTTTCTTCAAGCCATATTTTTTATCATTAAGATTACGTGAACTTGTCTTGTTATCGATTTTCTTTTACTTTAAGCTTTAAATTATTACTTTTTATCCAAATATTTAAAAAATTACGACAGATTCGAGATATATAAAAATTTTAAAAGTTTAAGAAACTAAGACTTTAGTAAAATTTGTAAGATTTAATAATGTGATACTAACGGTTGAACAGGGAGAGCTTTTGAAAATTTCTTTTGTAAAAAATATTTAAATTTCTACAAAAAAGAAAAATATTAACAATAATTTTTTTGAGAATTTAAATGTAAGGAAAAATATTAACAATAATTTTTTTATTTTAATAATAATAAAATTTTAAAAATCGAGACATCATAAACTAAGTGCTTATTTGTTTTCCTGTTTTCTGAAACCAAATTTAATTCTATGATAAAAATTAATAAAATAATAAATTGTCGACTTTGAAGGAATCATTTCTCTAGGTTCATAAACCGGGCCATATACATCAAAAGCACAGTTAAACCTACAAAACTAATTATTTTTCTTCTTGTCATAGACCCCACTCAAGTTTAAGGCTTTCTCTGAAATACCCACTTCGGTGGGGTCTTTGGAATTATTGTATTAAAATTATAAAATTATGATAAATATTTTGTAATAAAATTTTATTATTATTAATTACTTATTCTCAACTTTAATTGCTAAAATTAACAAAATTCATATATATAAAGTTCTCTCTCAATTATTTTTAATATACACTTTAAATGTCCATGTCAAGTTTATGTAAGAGAATGAACGACGCATATTTAATAGATAAATATCAGTTAGTGCAAGATGAGGCGGCGTAGTTTTGGATAAGTACATGGTTGTTTCTTCCGTACGAATGTTTCTTCTACTTCGTGGTGGCTTCGGACTCATCAAACTTTGCACCCGTCAATACAATCCGCTGTTGATCGATTCCTTTCATGAACAGAAATTGAATTAGGCAAATGCCCAAACACGCACACGTACCCCACAGCCGCGTTCTTCCCACATAGAATCTTCAACGCCATTCCTTTCTACTTTCTATATATACACGCCGCACCACTTCCTCTCATCACAATTCACCATCTTCTCTACTCTCCATCAAATCCTCTGTTACAATTCACAACTCTTCATCTTTCCCCTCATATATAATTCCTTCGCCACATTCAAGCATGGCCGATAAGCAACCCCAGTTGAACGGTGCGTTTTACGGTCCCGCCATTCCCCCAGCGGAGCAACCACGCTACCGCCACCACCACCATCGCGGCCGAAGCTGTTGTTGCTGCCTCTTCGGAATCTTCTGGAAGATTCTGGTAGCACTCGTCGTCCTCGCTGGCCTCGCGATTCTCATCTTCTGGCTCGTTGTTCAACCCCGGTCATTCAAGTTCTACGTCACTGAAGCCAACCTAAAGCAATTCGAATACTACAGCAACAACAACACCCTCCACTACGACATGGTGCTAAACTTCACTGCCCGCAACCCCAACAAGAAGCTCAGCATCTACTACGACAAAGTGGAGGCCGTGGCATTCTACGAGGGTACGAGGTTCGCTAATTATGACGTCATCACACACTTGAACTCCTTTCGACAGTACAAGAAGACCACGAGCCCCATGAGCGCCGTTTTCACAGGCCCTAGAGTGGTCATGCTCGACAATGATCAAGTCTCTAAGCTCAACCAAGACAAGATAGATGGAGTTTATGATATTTATGTGAGGCTATACTTCAGGATTAGGTACAGGCTCGGCGATGTGAAATCTGGCGACTACAAGCCCAAGGTTAAATGTGACCTTAGGGTTCCCTTCACATCTAACAATACCGTAACTCTGTTTGTGCCCACCAAGTGCAAGGTCGATTACTAGGGACTGCACATTATATTCCATGGATTTGTTCTTTGGAATTTTCTTTCTTTACCCATTTTTTTAATTCTAATAATTAATCCTATGTGATATTTATCATTATTCGATTCATTCTTTGACTACATGTTGTAATAATGGATACTTTTCCCTGCAATAAACTTACTTTTTTCGTCCTATAGAATTGTCTTTTGGTTTTAGGTTATGGTGCACACGGAAAATCTGATATGTTTCTGAGTATTTGCTGCTGCTCACTGGCTAGCTAATAATTTATTCAGCTCGTAGCTCATCTCTTAAAAATGATCATATAATTAAAATTTAAAATTGTAACATTTTAATTATATATCTAGTTATGTATTGTATGTTCACTTTTGCTGTTAAAACGAACTTGTAATTAAGTTTTAGACGAAAATAATGGTGGGTAAATTTAAAAATTATACAAGTTTTATTATTTATTGAAAACATGAGAATTCGTAGCTTAATATTCCAAAACTTTTCTTACATGCAATTACAAATTCATTTATGTGTAATATATTACGGGCAAGCACACTTGCAAATGCACAATTTGACCACCCCAAATGGAAGTTGCCCAAAACATCTTTCTGTTTTGAAATTATAGTTAAATTTTTTATTTTAAAAATGTAATTGTAGCTTTCTTTCTTATTCGAATCAATAAATAAAAAAAGGAACAAAGAAAAAAAGATATGGAATGAAAAATGTTTATAAACCAATAAACCATCAAATAAAAATAAAATAAAGTTATTAGTATAATTTAAATGTAAAGAAACACATACATAAAGAAACGAGAAAAACAACAATAAAATTAGAAAAAAGGCAAAAATGTTAAGGGCAATCCCATTGGGTTATATAATGTTTTTAAGAAGGATTATACTCGTATAATATTGTTTTCTACATATATGACTTTTTAATCATTTTCTATCCCCACTTTTTGAAAACTATATAATTAAATCGATATTGTGTTTCAAACGTAATTTTATTATTAAACTTGTTAGGCTAAGTTATCATTGAAATTCGTGTGCCGGTCATGACTTTGGTTTAAATTTTATATTTAATTATGAGAAAGAAAATATATTTAATTTTAAAAAAAAACTATTCGAATTGAAAAGTCAACTTAGCTTACAGTGTATATAGTTAAGAATAAATGGGTTTACGTGGTGCTCCAAAAAAATATTCTAAACCAACAAGGAACTCGGTAAACCGGCAAGGGGCGGGGCTGATTATTTCCTTTTAAAGTAAACATGTTACGATAAATTAGTTACTATAAAAAGATTTCTGCAATTGATTTTTCCACATGACGCGTTGGATAAATATACACACACAAAGTAGAAAGAAACCATTGCTACAAAATATATTTACGTCATTTTTTTGAAAATTTTAATTATGGAAAAAATTAGGTTCTTTTGTGCCATTTAGTGTATAAGCTATTTTTTAATTTTACTTTAATTATATTAATTTCTTCAATACTAAACGTATTTAATATTTTTTAATTCATATGAAAACTTTTAAAGGATATTGCGATGCAAAAGTAAAAATAGTTATTATGTACGAAATAATTAGCTTATATATTATATATACAGAAAAACTAGCTAATCAGGTGTTTAATGATGAAGTATTTTTAGATTGAACTTATTTCTCTTCTCAGTGAAGATAATTATGGAATTTGTATTCTTAAAATGATTTATTAGGTTTAAAAATAGAAATAAAAATGAAGGGAAAGCACGTAAGAGTCAATGGCGTCGGAAGTGGGAACTTTGAAAGTGGACAAATTCGTATATGCAAAAGCAAGCGCGTTTTGAAACCTAAGTTTGTAACCACTCCGCAGTCTGCACCTCACAACCATTTATTTAACACTTTATGCCGTAATCTTTTGTCCCCATTTGATTTTGTTTCTTAGATTATCACGCGCTTTTCCACACATCCTCTTATATATATACACTCTCCCACTTGTTTTCCGATAAAACCACACACAAGGAGGAAGGTTGGAATAGCTTCCATTCCATTCCATTTCTCATATTCATATTCTTATATTTCTAATTATTATTATTATTTCGTTGCTCTCTTTCAACCATGTATGAGAAACAGCCCCAGTTGAACGGAGCCTACTACGGCCCTTCCATTCCGCCGGCAAAATCTTACCACCGTCCAGCGCGCCGCGGCGGATGCGACTGCTGCTGCGGCTGTCTCTTCAGCCTCATCTTCAAACTCATCCTCACCGTCGTCATCATCGTGGGCATCGCGGTTTTCCTCTTCTGGCTCATCGTTCGACCCAACGTGGTGAAAGTCCACGTCACCGATGCTTCTCTCACCCAATTCAACTACACAGGCAACACCCTCCACTACGACCTCGCTCTCAACATCACTGTTCGCAACCCCAACAAGAGGCTGGGTATCTACTACGACTACATCGAAGCGAGGGCACTGTTCCAGGACGCTAGGTTGAATTCTGATTTCCTTGACCCCTTCTATCAGGGCCACAAGACCACGAACATGTTGAACCCAGTGTTCAAGGGTCAACAGATAGTGACGCTTAACGCTGACCAAACTGCGGAACTGAATAAGGAAAAAAACTCTGGGGTTTTCGAGATTGACGTGAAGCTGTATCTGAGGGTTAGATTCAAGTTGGGAGTGTTCAAGACCAAGACCCTGAAGCCCAAGGTTAGCTGTGACTTGCACGTTCCTTTTACTTCAGCTACAGGAACCACGCCGGCGGCCGGTGGCTTTCAGATCACCAAGTGTGACTGGGATCGCTGATGGATTTGGTTCTATTAGATTCGACCCTGTTTTTATTTTTCTTATCTTTGTGGGTTTTCATATATATGATATTTGTTTATTGGTTAGAATTTTGGATATAGCCATTCTCATACTCCTTGAGGGTTATTCAGGGATTTCATTATTATATCGTATGTGCATTTCTTTGCATTAGTATGTATATCTATGTGATATATTTTCCATCCATTCGGTGGAGGGGATTTTTGGTTTATTGTTTATGACACAGATGTTATTTGTTAATAAATAAATTTATTTTTCCCATCTTTTCTAACTTTGATTTTCCGAAGTTGCATGCTATTGCCATGTATATATATAAAATAAACTTACTTCTTGTACACTTATGGATCGTCATATTAGAGATTAAGTGAGGGTCATATAATGTAATGTTAGTAACATTGTTTTTAACCGATAAGCTTGTGCACCTAAACAATAAAATTAGCAAAAATAGTGTGCTCTTGAATAATTCAAAACGCCTGACTCTTTAGATCGACCTTTAGATATCTGTAACATAAATTATATTAATTATATGACTCTCGCTAATCCATACAGATGATGACGATAGGAAATTGAGAACTTTTCAACATATATTTAAAGACAACTTAGAAAAATTAAATGACTTTTGTATGCCTTTTCAAATTTATTTCTTCTTTTCTCCTTGGTTTTTCTTGCATGATAGTGTAATGATGTTGACTTGAGGAAAGTTGGAAAAATAAATTCTTGGCGCTCTAGTTTTCCTTCGTACGCAAATATTTCCATCATTTGGATTTATGTAGTGTTTTCAACATAATAAATAAAATTACCCATATAAATCTAATGGTGGAGATGGTGGCGACCTTGTCAATGGTCTTAAACTAATCTATTATGTGTTTGGTTAATTGCAGTTGGTGCCTTGTATTTCATTTTTAAATTACTAGTTATACCTTTGGGTTGGTAGTTTTATTTATGACAGCGCGTCTCTAGGTTTCCTTTTATTGAATGATAAAATTTAGGTGTCTATTTTTATATGTATACCTTTCGCAATATTTTTAGTGTTTAAATACTCAATATATACACCTCTCTTTGTTGTAGAAGTTCAATTACTGTTCGAAAATCTTACAACCCTCGATCCCCGAGTGTTTTTAAAATATTCGAGAGATACAAAGTATATATCACTCTGTATTTCACTTAAGGGAGGCATTCATATACCTTGACTGTAACCCGTGAGTATTCAAGCTCCTTATAAAATATATATCTCACATAATTTAGTATGAGTCTATTTCATTTAATATTACTATAGTAGAATTTATATTAACTGAAATGTTGAAGTGCATTTGTAGGTGACTCCACCACCATTTTATGCTCCAAACATACCCTCCTTTCATCTTCACTTTATCATTCAAAGATTAAATTTTAGAGGTTTAATAAACTTGTTTGGAATCAACATATATTGAGAGTTTTTTTATTGAATTATGATAAAAATATATATTACTTAAAGAATAAAATTTTGTCTAAATTAAATCAATCATATTCTAAAGAGACTTAAAAAATAATAAATAAAATAGTAATATTTAAAGGACAAAATAATAACTTTTAGATCCATTTTTCAGACAAATTTCAAAAGCCTTCTCTGATTTTACTTTTAATCTTAAAAAACATAACTATACAAGATACAGTAAAATGTATATCATTTTAATAAATGACAGGAAAAATAGCTTATATAATTACTAAAAATTATTCGTGACCTTCATAAAAATCATAAATAATAATAACAATACAAATTACACTAGTATCAATGTAGTATTATAACTGTAATATTAAATCTTGCCTCTGTATTACGTTAATCATAGTTTTAGCAATGTTCACTGAAGGCATGATAAGTATTTTTTGTTTAAGTGTTTTCCTTTTCTATTTTTAAATATAAAATCATTCAAACTCCAAACCCAGTCATTTTGAAACATATTTTCAGTTTTAAATTTATTTTTATATTTAGAAAACTTATTAATATAATTTTTAGTCAATAAGTGTTGGTAGTATTGTTTTATTTTATTTGTCAAGGCTCATTAATTAAAAATGCCCCGGAACACGTAAAAAAATGCTAAATTACAAGAATATTACAATAGTGCATGATAAGCATATAGAAGTAATAATCCTAAAAACTCTAAATATAATAAAGCTAAAACCAAGCAAATTCTAAAAACTCGTTTCTCTTACACTGAATATAACAATGCTCCGCGGCGGCACTCGAACGATGAAGTTTAAATTCTCTGTTGTTCATGAGAATCTCAACTTCTAGTAATAGCCCAACATGATCACTGATCAGGATTAAACTTGATAATTCATGAGTAATCTTCACGAGTCGATAGAATTAATATATTGTATAAGCTGAGCAGAGTAAGTTAGGCCCAACATAGTCAACGAAGAAATCAGTTGATAAAGCCCAACCCTATCTCATCCACACCACACTTTTATTCTCCTTCATCAGGCAATGAACAGGCCATAAACCCACTTAACAAACAAGTTAACCATTATTTGGGATCACCCTCTGAAACCAAGCTCAAGGACATATATGATCTACTTCTCCTTTAACACTGTTACGAGAGTTAGATTTATATTTATAAGATTTCTATCACACACCAAATTAACAGTTGTAAAATGACAAATTTGACCTTGGCATAAATTGGATGAGCTCACTAAGGGACATTCGAGCGTAGTCCGACCAATGCAATCAAGTCGTGAAAAAAGGTATACATCCCCTAAGCGTAAAATAAGTAGGGTAAATGAAAAAAAATATATAAGAAATAAGTATAAAACTATTTTAAAAAAATAAATAAATATTTTTATCTTTATTTTTAAAAAAATTAAAATACTGTGTAATATAATTAGAATAAAGGTTCTTACATGATAGTGTTGAGTCAAAATTTTATTAGAGAACTCAGCATTTAACTAACGGATATATTAATGATAGGAACTAATGCTTAATTTTCTAAGCACTAAATATTAATAAAAATTTAATAATTATTTTTAAATATAATAATTTTTATAAAAACAAAACTTTTTTAAGTAAAAAATAACTCGTTTGATCCATTCGTATATCGAAATGAAATATGAATTATATATTTTTTACTAAACCTAACACAGTACGTGATAGATAAATTTAAATTTGGATATAATTTTATCAACTTTAAATGTCTCCAAAAAATGTATATCAAGAAGTACTATATATATTCTATTAAATAGTCTAAATTATAATATTTTTTCTAATGATTTTGAGATAAATATTCTTGTTTTTAATAAAAATTATTTTTAATTTCTTAACGTTCCTAAACACACATTCGTAGGTTCATGTTTATTCATTTTAATATAAGAAGTTTGAACTCGTGGGGCTCATCAGGTAAATAGATTATAGAGCTACCTAAGCTGGCAGCTACAATGAAATCTCACCTTTAAACTTTAATAAAATAGACAATGAATTTCGTTACATACAAGTAATTGAAATTGCGTGAAAACTGATTACTAACATGGTTGGATCTTACAAAATTAATATATCTGGTGTCTGTTTCTGAAATGATGTATGGCTAGACTTCCTTTTTATATAAACATAAACTTAGTTATATAATTTAATATTAACAAGGTTCAGTATAATTAATGAATAGATAAATTTTAAGATATTAATGTATAGCAGTTGGTTAGATATATTCGTAGTACCTGTATGTATAATTGTATATAGTCATGCCCCCCATTTCCAATTCCGCTGCATATCAACGTTTATATATTTAGCCTTAGGAAAGTCTTCAACTTAAATCGTGTTGTGCTTAATTCGTATGACTAACTTTTAAGCCTACACAAACATTGTTAATATATTCCCAATTATACCAAATGCCAATAAAGTCCAACAATCACTCGAATCAAGGGTTAATTAACTAAAGTGTCATGATGAATGTGTTGTCAAAATATTTCAGCCAACTTATAATTTATTTGCTTAATTTATTTAATCAGAGTAAAGTATTTGATAAATGAGTTTGTTTTATTAGTTTACATTTTTTTTATTTATAATTTATTATATTTTTCACTTTTATTCTTATTACTTTAATGAATTCTATTTTTTATCGGAATAATATCATTATTTTGGTAAAATGTTAGGCGATAAATTTATTTTGTTTACTCTGTGATACCGTCATAAAATATAATTTAAAGATATCAATTATTTATTTTAATTATTACATTATTTATACTATTTATTTCAATTACTAACATATTTGATTTATAAACAAAGTTATAAGAGTTTAAAATGAACTAATAAACTCAAAATTATGCTAAAAATAAGCCAATGATTCATCACTAAGTTTACGCAAATAAGGGAAGAGTTTATTACAACGTGAAAAAACATGAAAATTTGAACGAAGGAAAGATATATTATACTAAATTAAAGTAGATATGAGACATTGTTCTTTAATGAAAAATTTCTCTTTTTCTAAATAAATTATACACTTACCTTATTTTTTTATTAACCTTTTTTTTATAACAGTACTATTCATCATGTTTGTTATTTTTTTCATCACTATTCACTCGTATGATATATACACCTCTTCGAAAAATAGAAATTGTTTAGTAGATAATTCACACTTAAAGAGGTATAAGGATATAAGAGAAAGAAATAATAAAATAAAGAGATAAGAAAAATAAAAATAGAGAAAGATAAAACAAAATGTTAAATAGATGTGTGTTAATAAAAGTTGTTTTAAAATTGGAAAGATAGTAATAGACCGTGCATGCAGCTGTCTGATGGAAAAGCGCCATGTTGTGAGTTAGGCTAAAACTGTAGGATAGTGTTGGACCAGTAGAGGCCACACAAGATGAAGCGAAATTCAGATAGAATATATAGCATTCAAAATACAAGATTAGATGAACCAAACCCAATTCCCATTTATGGCGTTGTAGGCCAGGTCGACGACGCACATGCTAAAAGCAATCAGAGCATCTTTTTGCTTCTCTCTTTCATCTGACCTTTCTATTTTCCTTGGTAGTTTACTTGTACTGCTTCTGCTCATTTCATCTGTCTCTAACATTCTCTTTCTTTTCTTTAACTCGCAGATGGAATTAGATCATTGGAAACATCCATCTCCATCATCATTTCTTGAATGACTTTTACCTCCCCAAGAATCACGGTTTTTGTTATGATGATCATATGTGAACACGTGTATTCAATCGATAGCTTTAACTCCAAGCTTTCAGGTTATTTAAACCAGGAATAGTCAACAATTCGTAAGGCATGTGCAACTGGTGATTGGCTAGAATAGTTAACAACGGGGATTCGTACTTCGTTACGTTGGATGTATTCATGTAGGGGGGAACCCTCGTCCCCTCTCTGTCTGATCTTAACATGGCCAATTCTCAGATGTCTATATACATGGGAATTTCTATCGGGTTTCGTTACTTCCAATGATGACGTCAATGTGGGGGTGGGATATGGATATTATTTCTTAGAGATTTTCACGTTATTTTATTACTCTATTATGATTCATAAATATCTAAACTGTATTAATATTTATTTATTTTTATTTTTCTATAATATCATATATTTCATCATATTAATCATTTCTCGTTCTTCTATTTTTTTTCTTCTACGAAACATTTTTCATTGTTTTATGGATAATTTGGTATCTTACGCGCGTAAACATGAATTTTCATTTGACTTTATTGTACCCAAGTGTGAAAGGAGAAGATCCATTCCCATTTACGTGACTCGGTCTGGCTCGTGAGCTTTTTCTATGTGCATTTATGTTGTGAAACTTCTCGGTCAGTGACATGTGCCCAATGCGGCTCAGCCACATTACTATAGAAGGATTACAATTATGTACGTTTCCCATCCGTTTGCGTGACTCTGTGTGGTGACTATTGATCTTTCTCTACATGTGGTTTATGTTGAAAAACTTCTTGGTCAATCACACGTGCCACATTACTATAGGACTATAAATACGTGCATATGTTATAACCTGCGCCTGAATATATATAATAGAAAAATGATCGTTTCACGAGATGGGCGTAAAAGAGATACATGCATGTTAGCTAGTAAAAGCAGATCAGTTTTCTTTTCTTGATTTTCGCATTTGCTACCTGGACTTAACAGTTAATTAAGCACACAATGTTTCAAGTCCCGCAATTGAATACTTAATTGAACTTAACAAAAAGGGAGTTCTAGAACTTAATCAATCCGCATCCAATTAGATTCAGCACCATTTGTTGAGTGTACCATTTCGCTCGCACACCTTCAGTGCATTAGCTAATGGTGGTGGTCCTAGTAAACTACTACAGCGCACTAAGCATCAACGTGTCCTGGATTCCAACCTTTTATTAATCATCCCATTTTATTTTCTTCCACAAAATCGACCCCTTCAATGAAAGTTATGTTCAGAGTCTTCATCTAGCTTGTTCTTCGGACTAATTAATATCTTGATAGCAAATCTGTGTAGCCAAATTTCTAGCATCTTTCTCGTATTCTTTTCTCACTCTGTGGCAATGGAATTAAGGAACCTAACTTGCAAGAAGAAAATAATGATAAACACGTCTATTGAGACTGCTTCTGCCCCTCCCGTCTCTTCCTACTAATTTTTGTTTTACCTTAATGTGTAGCATATACAAAATAACAATCGATATAAATCTACTTGTCGCTGCTCAGAATGACAAATATGGGACTATATGACACAGAAGAAAACAAATACACTTCCTTTTCGTGGTCCTGATTTTTATTTATTATAAAATTTGTCACAATAGGAAAAAAATATTAACGTCGTGACTCATAACGGAGACAATATCTTTAAGTGAAGTATATTTTTGAGATGTGTATAAAAAAATTGAAAAATAAGTATTGGATAAAAATGATTATATATACACATTATACACTGTGTTAATTTTTAATGGTTAAAAAATGAAAATGACTTTGATAGTTGGAGTTATTATTCCTTAAGCTTCATTATTTTTGCCTTTCTTTTTTTTCCTAAAAAAAATTATAATTTTAAGAGAAAGATAAGGGGAAAAATAATGATGATGCATAAGACAAATGGTGTGAAGAAAAAATGATAAAAATAAATAAATTATGACTTTTTCGTAAAAAATTATTACTGCTATATCTTTATATTTTTCATTTTTTTAAGACTTACTCTTTTCTTTTACTTATATATTTTTATTACATTATTTGTTGTTTTTTTCTTCCGCATTTTTAACTCCCTGACAATCGTCTCTATTCCTGCGTATGTGATGAGAGACATCATTTTTTCACTCATGTTATTCCGGTACTTGTCTGTTCTGAGTAATAGGATAGGATTGTCCTTTCTGCTTTATTCTCCTAACCCATGACTTTGTCCTTCTGTCCAAATTCATTCAGTAGATGTACAACTTTACAATGTATAGTAAAACATAATAAAGAAAAATGAGAAACGATTTATTATACAATAAATTTGTAATTTTTTTATAACTTAGTTTGATAGGAAGAAAAGAAAAGAAAGTGTGAAAAGACAGATCCTGTGATTGACAGAAATAGAAATAAATTTATTGTTATAAAAAATTATTATATATATTTTTTGTGAGATTAAAATAACTAAAAAAAGTAAAACATTAATTTGACTTTTCTTAACTAAAGCCTGAAGTCTAAAACGAAAAATACAGAGTTATAATCACTTATTACTAATGGCAGAGATTTATAAAAATAAAATAGACACACATTGAAATTATCTCTCATCGTTAAAAAAAAAATTTCCATACAATTTTTATCGTATTTTTCTTCTTTCTTAAAATATATAATTTAATTATTGTTTAATAATATTGATATTTTTAGAGCTTGAGAGATCTAAATATGAAAATTTAAGCTTAATTTAAATGGTTTAAACTGAGCAGAAAATTGATAATAATTATAATTTAGTAAAAAAAAAAAAACGAAAAAACGTAAATATGAAATATAACTGCATGCGGAAAACTCATTTGCCTTGTACTCAATCTTAAAAAATTAAAAATGAATAAAGATAGTATCGAACGAACAACCTACCCTCAATTGTGGCATTGTGTTAAATTTTTACTCTGTCGGTGATGATCAACAAAATAATATTGGCGTGGCATACATGTGCCAAATAGCAAATTGCAAGAAGAGCTGCTTCCTCGAGTGCTAGAGGACAAACAAGAAACACAAATAATGCAAAGAAAAGAGAACACAATGCCCTTTGAGATCCTTCTGAAAGAACATGAAAAAGAATAGATTCATTCTCAAAATGGTGAGTCTCACTTGATAAACCAACCATATATTTATTCATTTGAAATTATTCTTAATATCCATACCCTGTTTCTGCAACATTATGAACCCCACAATGAATTTTAGTTACTGCATTGACCCCAACAATAAATAAAAAATAACAATAAAAACGGTGGCCGCCATCAGCAACAACCATGCACTTCCAATGTTACTTTACAGCTATACTAAACTAAGCACTCCTTTTGCAACTCTTAGGCCGAAATCCGAACCTCTCATTCTCCAAATCAAATTCAACGTAGAAATTCTGCTGCTGATAGTTCCCCAAGATGATCGCCGGACCGGATGCCCTCGAAGGACCGGTACCTCCGCCGGTGACAATGATCAAACACACCACCTTCGAATCGCCCACCAACGAGAAATAATTAGGAAGCGGCAACGTCATTTTGGCGCCGCCTTTGAACTGAAAAGTTAACTCCGGGAAACTCGCCGTCGTCACGCCGGATAAATTAAAACACGGCCCCAATCCCGATTGGGCCTCCACGTCCTTGGCCCGCGTGTAATTCGCCATTTGCTTCTCGAACTTTTGGGCCACCAAATTATAAACGGGCCTCTCCATGAACGTGAAGGTACTCCCAGAGTCCACGATGGTTCCCCCATTACCGTCAGAACCTGATTCCAAAAACTCCAACGGAATCTTCACTCTCTCGCCGCCGACAATGACCTTGCGAAGGTTCAAATAGTAATACTCGCCGAATGCCGAGTTGTTCCCGGACGGGTTCTTGTGAAACGGCGTGTAACTCAGGCCGGTGGTTTTGGCGTCGCCGGTGGAGCCAATCTGCAAAATGAGGTCGCTGTTTTCCCGCGAGTCGTCGAACCGGTGGGAAATTAAGCAGTAGGAGAATCTCTTGAGACCCATCTGCGACGGAAGCGACTCTTTCCCACGTCCGAATCCGGCGATCCCGGAGGGTTGCCGGACGGAGAGGATGGAACAGCCGACGAGAAAATCAGTTACAATTTTTCCCGGAAAATTGAGATTTTCGAGGAGTAAGAAACCAGCGGTGGAGCCCAACCCGTATTGGATGATGTAAGCAGGGCAAGTAAGTGTACAGTTTTGAGATGCGGGTTTGCATTGTGGGCATCGAGATTGAACGTCGTTGCCGAAAAGGTAACCGCATTTGGGGTTTCTGCAACCGACTAACTTGGAAGAAGAAGAGTTTTTGGGAATGAAGGTGGAGATGGTTGATGGGTTGATGTTTGGGAAGAGACAGTGGGAACAGAGGTAGCGAGAGGTGCAGGGGAACCAAACGAGGCTGCTTCCAGTGTCCAAGACGAAGGAAGAGGTTTGGGGTGGAGTTCCGAATTTGAGATCTATGGAGTATCCTCCGTAGCTTTTGGGGAAGACTTGTGTGGTGAGGGATGAAGAATTGCGGTGCTTGAGATGGTGGGCCCTTGTTAGAGAAGCTGAAGCGGCGAGTTTGAAAGCGTGGAATGGATCTGAGGATTGGGGTTTTGTGAATAAAGGGGAGAGAGGGAGAGTGATGGTGTTGGGGTTGGAAGAAGTGCATGCGATTAGAGAGAGTAGAGAGAGTAAAAGGAGAATGTGAGGAGCCATTGGAACACTTGGTGTGTGTGAAGAACTGAAGTGAAAGAATGGATAATAAATGAACCAACTTGATCCTGTTTTCTGTTCTTTCTTTCTTTATAATTATAAATACAGTAGAAATGGAGCACTCAACGGGCAAAGTGGTTTGGGGGCAAGAGTAACATTTGACCTTGAAGGGGATGCAATTTAACAACACTTGCCATCAACCCCAACGGTGGAATTTTTAGTTTTCACGCGGCACAGTTTTGGACAACTTCTCGCACTCTCCTCTCTTTCCTACCGTTTCTCTACGTATACTTTGTCCTTTCACAATGATAGTGATTTCTCTTCTTCTTTTTCACAAATCCTACTCGCGGTAAAATTTAGCTGTTCCATTCAACTGCTATCATTTTTTAATTTTTACAGTGTACAGCAGAGAATAAAACGTTTTGTACGATTTACAAATTTATCTCGGTTGACAAATACTATGATTCACGTGCCCTTATCTTTTTTAATTTATTCGCATGAAATGAAACTTCAATTTAGTAGCTTGAGTAAGAAGACTATTTACCTTTAAAATTCTTACTCACTGGGAATTCCTTCTTATCCATAGTTTTGCAAGGAAGAAAAAATGAAAATAATAATAATCATATATAATTGAGTGGGTCAACCTACCCTACCTTGCTCCTGAGTCGTGACCTGCCTAAACTAGCGAGTGATGCAATTAGAGGACACTGGCGCAGTAAAGGGAAGTGCGACAGTGGAATTGCTGGTACTAGTATGGTCCTGCTTCTCAGTAGTATTGAAATTGATGGTGATGGTGGAACATGGAAAAAACGATATTTTGAAGAAGGGGGAATCAGTGGAAAAAAGAGAAAATGGGTGGAGCTCACTCACGATTTGTTTTTTATATATAACAAATTTTTGTTCCCAATCCAGAAGGGAGAAAACTGACGGTTTATTTATTTATTTTCTTAGAAAACTATTTTTTTTTTAAAAAGACAAAGCGTATTTTTCACTGGTATTTTCTAAATTTTGTTTCCAGAATTAATAAATCAGTTTTATTTATTTTCAACAGTCAATGCTTGTTCTCGTTTTGAATACCAAAACTGATTTTAGTTTTTAAGACGAAGAATGGACACGTCTTCTACCGGCCCAAAACGTTGTTCGTAGATCTGTCATGCCCAAACCTGTAGGGTGCAGACCCAAACACCGCAGGTTAACGCTGATTCATAGCTGTAAACAATTATGAAACCCGTAAACACTTTCATATTTTGAGAGGTGAGTGTCTAAACTAATCCTAGAAAAAAAAAATAAAAAAATATATATATATATAATACATTTTTATTTTTTTTAAATAGTAACTATTTTAGTCTTTGAAAAAATATGATATGTTTATATTTGTATATTTATTGATGAAAGAATTCAAATCATTTTAAGGAACTATTTAATAAAATTTTCAGATTCTAAATTATATTAAACAAAACATTATGAAATAAGTTTTCAGCAGTATTCCTAAAAAAGCCAATTAATATGACATATATCAATCAAGCGCCCACAGTGCAAAACTGACACAGCGTGTCAAGTGGTGGTGGCCATCCAAAGGAATATTTTTTTAAGTATCGAAACAAAAATATATTATTTTTTTCTCAATTTTTTATAAGCACGCTTCAAAATAATTTCGTAGCCTTTAAAATAATATTTTTACAACATTTAAATTATTTTCTATATTTATAATTTATTATTAAATCTTTTATGTTCTCAGTAATTAATATAATTTATAATTTAATTTTAGTTAGTATATTATAATTTTAAAACCCTAATATAACTACTTCAAATTGTTTTGTTAGTTAAAAAAATTATAAAATGACTAAGAAAATTATATTTTTCTTCAATTTGAATTTCCAATTTACGTGGAGAGGCTACAAAATTAATCACCAAACACTTGGTTAGAATCAGCCACTCTTAATAGGCCAGCCCAGTTCAACGAGCTCAATATTGGGCATAGTTTATTAGTAGTTGCTTCTTCGTGGGGAAACTCTTTTTTTTTTGTTTTTGGTATTGTATGCCAATGAGTGTAATATTGTTGTGTGAAAGAAAATCGTGTTCATACTTTATTAATTGAAAAAAATTAATCATGTTAGTTAAATTGATCTGCCACTGTTCATACTTTTGGATGATCATTTTGAACACTCATAGTTATATCCAATTAATCCCGCTCAAAAATAAATAAAATTAAAAAAAATACTCCTGTTTTTTTTATGTTTAATGTTTTATAAAAAAATTAAGAAAATATTTGGTATTGTCAATTTCATAAAAAATTTACTTAATTTCTTATTATATCTTTCGTCTATATTAATTAATATTAGTTTTTATTTTTTAATCAAACAAACATTAAATGTTTGGGCCGGCCTTAGTGGGCCTTTATGGAAATTAGTGACGTTCGGTTGTTGAAGGCAATAGCATGTCACGCATTATTGAGAATATCATAACAACTGTGGTGGAGTTGAATTCCAAAGGCTATTAGAAGTTCAAACTAAAAACTCAGATCTATATATTTAGTCATCTCATCTTCTTAAGATTATTCCTATTCAGAAGAAACTTGTAGAATTGGTTTTTTAATTTGATTTTGTAGTTGATTGTTTTATTTTGTGCTTGTTATCCCTGTTTACTATTTTTTTAAAATGTAACTGTGGATGATGCAATCTTTAATTTGACTCCGGACATTTTGAATCCATGTATTCACGCCTTGCACGGTTTTGTATATGAACATATTTACTTAAAATTTATATATATATATATATATAAACTTTCAAATATATTTGTTTTTGTTTTAAAAAAACCTTCAAATACTAACTGTTTTCTTTAGTAAAAAATTGCAAAGTTGTGTTTAAAAAACATGACCAATTACTTTTTAAGCCTAATTTTATATTTAAATTCGAATGTGTTTTTATTTGACCTAATTTCTTATTATATCTTTAATTGTATGTTAATTAACATATTTAAAAAATAGTTTATCGTAATTAATTTTAAAGGAAAATAATTATATATCACCACTGTCAGTACTGTATTATTTTCACAATTAATCACAGTATATAATTTTTAATTTTTAATAGTGTCTCCCTCTTACTGAAAGTGATCCAATTGATCACTTCTCCCAATAAATTCAATTATGTCTTCTCAATATGACACCAATCACTCAAAATTGCATAAAAGCGCGCACAAGTGTAACGATGATTTATCAAACCAACTGTGGAGCATCTCTCTTTAATGGATTGCAATTTTTTCAAAAAATTATTACTATTTTAGAGTTTTTTTTTCTCGAAAAGATAAAGGCCGTGGAATTTTTTTTATTAGATTGAATAATTTTTAAGTTTTTAAAATATATTGAAATTTAATTATAAATTTTATAAATTTAAACTTATATTTTATAAATGTTAACTTTAACTTTTAATTATTACTAAATAATAATATAATTAATCTAGACATTGATATGCGTTGTTTTTTTTATCACACGTTATTTTTTTATCAAGTCATATCAGTAAAAAATATTTTTAAAATATCAGAACTATAATAAATAAATTAATTTTATAAAAATAAAATTAAAAAATTTGATGTATTTTGAAGATTTATTAACGTATTTTATTCTTAATGATATTTTTCTTCACATGTATAACATCTACACACTAGGATTAATACTTTTATCTTTAAAATTATTTTAAATGTTGTCTTAAAAATACTATTAATTTAAATTATATTAAAATGTTATTTATTATATAACGCCTACCTTAAACAGTAAACAACATTAAATGTGTAAAATCAATTTATAATTCATTTTTGGTCTACTGTATTAATTAACACTAGTTTTTATCTCTTGTCGTGGCATGACTTTATAATTCTTGTTGGATAATTTTATTTTGATACTTTATTATGCGACGCTAAATAGGTGAAAGTAAGAGGAATAAAAAATATAATATTTAAAATTTTAAAAATTATAAAATCAAAATCTAAGCATCACTCTTGTGCTTTGATATGATATGCCCCAAATCCATTCAAAATGATCCCGGCGTAAAATTATACAAAACATTTGAGTATTAATAAAGAAATTATAAATAATTAACTAAATTTAAGTAGTTATATTTAAGAGGAATGCTTAGTATGCGATTTTTTACCCACTATTATTAATTAAAATTTATTAAAATTATAAAAATATATTAATTTAAAAGTGAAAAAAATGTGACTTATATGATTTTTTTTTAATTTTTAATAATTTTGTATTAATAATAGAAAGTGTTTAAGAGAGGATTTTGTATATTTAATTTTTAAAAATTAAAAATATGTAATTTTTAGATTAATTTTATATTTAATATTTAAAAAAGAGAGTTTTATTGTTTATTATAATCTTAACTATCAAATAAAATTAGTTTATGTTAAAAAAATGTAATTTAAATTATATACGTATATTATTTATTCTTATTTTTTACAAAATTATTGAACTTTTTTTAATCATTTTAAAGGCAATTTTTCAAATTTTAAGCCATCAAATATTTCGAAATATTAGCATTTTAAATATAAAACAACTGTGGTGGCTACTCCGCTGTTGAGTGAAAAGGTAAAATATTAATTTCTTAGGACTCAAATTAACTGACATTCAATGTATATATTTGAATTGTGAGGAGAGATGTAATAAAGTTAGCAGGGAGAAATAGAAACTGGGTCTCTGTATATGCATACGATGAACAATAATTAACAAGTTTTTTATGGTCTTAATCATAAGCTAATGACAAACACGGGTGAGCCTTTATAGTAAATACAATGAATTGATATTTATAGTGAAATCATCACGTTCAGATTAAATTTGGTAATGGATTAAGTTCCGACAGATTTATATTTTATAGACAACATGGTATTTATGAATCTTTCTAAAAGCTTGCCAATTTGATTCAAGGTTTCTGAATCCAAAGTACCCCAAAGAACGTGGATTCACACGTGGCATGCATTGTGGATAAACTACATCTTCTTCTATTTGGTCCATGATAACAGAAGTGGACACATTCTATAAATTATTAATTTAGTCACAACCACAGTAATGCTCAAGCTGATGCATTTTTTTTTCAAAAATAACTAAGTTGATAATTAGTTAACTAATAAAAGTTTAAGGTAATGTCTATTTACTCATTTTTTAGTTAAATATAAAGTAAATTACAGTTCCTTTTTCTGAGAGATATTTAAATTGTATTTCTCCTTTTCTTTTTATTTAAAAAATATATATGTTCCTTGAAGGATAAATATATATATTAGATACGAGCCAGTTTTAATATAAATACAGTTATAAAGTTGTTTTACTCTCTAAATGATATTTTTTGTATGATTCAATATTAATTATGAACATCTATTATCGAAGGTACCTTAAAAAATAATATTTTTAAAATAAAATTTAAATTCATTAATATATATGTTTATTTATTTATTTTAGATATTAAAATCAAAGTAGGATTTTTAAATTAGTTGCATGTGACGGTGAAAGTTGAAGTTTTTTTATAATATATATGATATCGTTAAGTTACATGTTAATATTAAGATAAAACTCAGATATAATACCTTCTGTTATTTTAATATTATATTTTAACTAAAAGTAGGATTTAAATAACTAATATCGTTTAAGTATTAATGTCGACATTAGTTTTTAAATTGATAATAATATTAAAAATAATACGTCTAATTTTTATCTTTAAGATGTAACCACAATTATTCTTATAAGAAAAAAGTGTGGGAAGAACTGAAAGTTTAGTTACAATTTCTAAACGTGTCAACTTAAACTCAAAATGATGCTTATCAATTAAGATAATAGGACAACGGTCACGCAAGTCAAAATAATCATCCAATAATAAATAATAAATATAATATTGAGAAAATATTTTATTTTAAATAGTATACATTACTCCAAATTCTAATATTTCCCGTAGTTGTTAAAGAAAAAAAAAACCATTTTGCAAAATCATGTGTACATTATGACTTTATTTTATTCTGTATATATCATCCTATTGTAAGCTTTTCATTTTTCAGAATATGAAGTAACAAAGCATATTTAATTAACATAAAATTACATAATTTTTTAATTATTAGATAATTATCACCATTTTAATTAATTATAGTCACTATTATCGTTATTATCATGATTATTATTATCATCATTAATTAATATTTATTGGAATATATTTAAATATAAATTTTATTTTTCAAGTTAAAAATAAAGATTGATTTTTATAATATATAATATATAATTAAAAAGTAGTTTAATTCAAAAATTTTAAATTAATGAAAATAATTCCAAACAGACCTAAAATTATTACATTTATTTATATTAAAATAATTTTTAACTTACTAATATAACTTTTATCATATTTTTCTTTTATTCACGATAATTGTATAAAATATTTGAAAAATAGGTTACATAAGATTATAATGAGAAAATAACAACTGATATTTTTGAAACTTCTACATTGATAAATAAAGAAAAAATCTTTAAAAACAAATAGCGTATATTTCGTTAACGTCAAATAATATGTGCTATTTTTATTTTAGATTTATTGAGCTAGTTGAATTTTTTATAGGTTTAACTAAATAATATTTATTCTTAAATGCATATCATTGGGCAAAGGAGTTGCGATCTCGGTTTGAGGGAGCAGGGTATATATACCCATATATAGCAGGGTATATATACCCATATATAGAGACATCTAAATACATTAAACAAATAGTCACCTTCTTCTCATTCTCAACCCTCTTTCCTTCTCTCTCTCTCCCTCTCCCTCTCTCCCTCTCTCTCTGGTGGTAGCCGAGGCTTTACACAACATTGCATCAACAACAAATGGAAGAGCTCAAATCCAGGTTCAAGAGGATTTGCGTGTTCTGTGGGAGTAGTTCAGGGAAGAAAGCTACCTATCAAGAAGCTGCAGTAGAACTTGGCAAGGAACTGGTAACGTATAACTTTTTTTAAATAATTTATTTGTTACATTAATTATAATCTAATGCCACACCATGTGTATACAAGAGCCCGGACTTTTCTTCCCAAGAGGAATCATTTCAATGAAATCACACGCTGCTTTAATTTTCTCCGTTTATCAAATTCCGTTTTTTCTTTCTCTTCTGTTTTTATCTCATTTTCAAAATTTGGTCTAGCAAAAAGACGAATTCATTCCGAGAAGTGATGAACGCTTGAATCTGAACACCCCATAATTCATATGGCACTTTATTTGATAGCATATCGATTAATCAGATTCGATGAACTTTTACTTTCTTTAATGCCACTTTCTGTCCCCTGGCGGCATTGCTATCTGAAGTTTCCACTGTTACATATCTAACCGTTTCCCTCTATAGATTCATTACAAATTAATTATTTGTTTTTATTCTCACTCTGGAGTTTCACATTTCTTCCTTGCTTTCGTGTCCCTCTTCCTCTTATGGCCGTTTCTTTTATTTAATTTTTTAATTAAAAACAAATAAACAAACTCTTGAGTGGCAACTCGGGCTTGTTATGATTGTTGACGACTGAATGAATGTTTTAGGGTTTAGGTTTGGCATGAGAGAGAGACATACAGAGAGATTGCTAGAATGCTAGCTGTAATCTGCCTGTCAGTTGAGCAGCCTTCTTGCATGATCTTTGTTTTCTCCATACTGTATAATATTTTTTGCAACACTCAAAAAATGTTCTATCTAGAAATGAAATTTACGAAATAAAAAAAAAAAAAACACCACCCAGAAACAAATATATAGCTACTACTTTTTTTTTTCTAGGGAACCAAACGTGCTACCTAGGTATCATTACTCTATGAAGCGTGTTCTTAGCCTTTGGCATTCCCCACAAGCTTCCATGACTGAACCACCATGATTTTTCCATATGCCCGGTGGTTGTCACCCAAATATGGTAATCACTCTATCTACCATTTCTTGTTTTAAAAATAATATATTTTTTATTTTTCTGTCATCTTACCCCTTTGGTTGCTATTGACCACACCATCCACTTAATGGTTATAATAAATTTTTATTATTTTGGACATGCCCAAACATTTGGTTTAGTAGTTTAATTGTTTTCATGATGAATGTTGTGACACGCGTCTACTCAGTTTGGTTTTCGATGTGTTTTGAAGGTAGAGAGAAGAATTGATTTGGTCTATGGAGGTGGTAGCGTGGGGCTTATGGGTCTCGTTTCTCAGGCAGTTCATGATGGTGGGCGCCATGTTCTAGGGTTTGTTCTCACTCTCTCACTCACACACACTCATTCTGTGTGGTGCATGTGTCTATACGTGTGCAATATGGTATATATAACAGGTCAACTTAATCATTTTTGCTGAGCCTTGTTTTTATTTTTTTTTCAATGTAGTGGAATGTACTTCGGTGTTTCCTACTAATAATACGTATTTTCCATGTTTTGTGAGAAATGGTTAGCAATGTAGAACATCACGGGATCAAATGCTGGCGATGTGGGGCATTATTTTTTCATAATCAAAGCTTCCGAATGTAGGTTGAAAGGGAGCATCTTGGATATAAATTTGAAAAAAAAAATTAACGGGGATTAATAATATATCGGGCCTTCTGCACCGTTGATGAGATTAAAAATTATATATATAGGAAAGTGTGACCTTTACCGGTAGTTAGAAGGTTCTTGAGCAGCTTTGCTCTATTGGATAAAAGTTGAATCCCTTTTTGCCCTTCCAGAAAGGGACGGTAGAAAGTTTTTGCGCAGTAATTGGAGCCAAGATGTTGTTTCTTTTTACTTTTTCTTTTCTTTTCTTCGAAGAAATCACAGATTCCTTGTTCCACATTCAATTAGTTTAATAAAGATCGTTCTTTTATGTATATGTATTGAGTAAATAAACTTAGTTAAGTTTCTATGTTGTTCTTTTAAATATTGATTAATATCATTCACCAAAATAAAAAAATAAAGTTTTAAAATGTTCCCCTTTAAAACCTTCGACGGCTGAAACGGTGAAATCTTTGTTTTGACTTTAGTTCTGACTGTGAGCTTCTTTGTGTAGGGTTATCCCAACAAGTCTGATGCCTAGAGAGGTACATCCCTTTATCAATTACTATTTTACAATTCATTATTATATAAATAATATAATCATAGCAATAATTTAAAGTTCAAATAATCTCAGCAACACCAAATATGGAATGGTCGATGGATCACAATGTAAACATTCATATAGTTATATTGCAAATGCAGATAACAGGTGATCCTATTGGGGAGGTGAGAGCCGTATCTAATATGCACCAAAGGAAAGCCGAAATGGCCCGTCAAGCTGATGCTTTTATTGCCCTCCCTGGTAAGAATTTAATTACTCATAGAAGAGAATATCTTATCACACGAAGGGGGGGTATTTGTTCTTTGATCAACACGTAGAGGTGGTTCTTATTTTTCAACCAACAGGAGGATATGGTACCCTTGAAGAATTGCTGGAAGTCATTACATGGGCTCAGCTTGGGATCCACAGCAAACCAGTAAGCTAGATATTCCTCATTTTTAATCCTTCATTGGGCAACTAAGGTGACATATAGATTAAGTGGACACCAATGGCTGTTGTTAGAAACTTCGTTGACCAAAATTCTTTGGTACACAACTGTTGTCAAAATTATATTCTGTCCCTCTCACATCATGTATCTTATAAGATAATGTATATTTTAAAGAAATTATCATAATAAATTAACTTTCTTTAACTAATTTATTTATTAAAATAGTTAAAATGTAGCTATAAATTAATTACATATATAAGTAAAATACTAATAAATAAAGTATTCTTAAAAAATAATATTTAATACTTTGTTTAATAATTGGAAGGATTATAGCAAGAAGTCATTACAAGAGGATTTATAATTATTTTATGTAAAATATGTAACATTGCTGGTATAGAATAATAGAAACCCATGGGAGAGATGCCTGAATGATGGGAAATAAATATTAAATAGAAATCTTGGCTTTTAAAACGATCTTCATTAGCGTCTTGTGACTCTGGATTAAATTCAACCACACAAATTAAATGTAAACTAGTCAAATTCCTTTTCTTGTTTATTCTTACAGCATTTGCCACGAGCAACTCTCATGTTTTAACGTTGTTAATGTAGTACGTATCATCAGTGGTCATGTTACTCATATACTAAATTTTTTGGTTGATTAGCCAAGTTGCTGGATATGTCTCGGTGAAATAGCATGCTTGATCGAGTTCAACTTGGGATCCATGCATGTGTGTGTATATATAAATATGTGCCAACAACTAGGAAGCTTCAATATGTACAACCCGAAACATGTGGGCTATTTAATTCGGCATCACATGAGCTAATAGCTTCAGATTTTGCTTAATCATTGTCACGTTACATTATTTGAAGGTTCTCCGTTTGAATGGGAGTAAAATATGTGAGTAAACAACTAATATAAAATGGACGAAGATTGAAGAACAAATTAAAATTAAGAAAAACAAATAAAGTTCTTGGTGAATGAAAATTGCCGGGTAACATAGTGTTTATTTGTCAAATTTCTGAGATGCAGGTGGGCCTGTTGAATGTGGATGGATTTTACAATTCCTTGTTGTCTTTCATTGACAAGGCCGTAGATGAAGGCTTTATATCCCCTACGGCACGGCGCATTATCGTGTCTGCACCCACAGCCAAACAATTGATGCTAGAGCTAGAGGTGCGTAAATATTGCTTCCCACTTCATAAATATAAAAAATGATCGATGTTATGTGGTTCAAGAAATATGATTCCTTTCCTCTGAGCAAAACAAAATTAAGATGATTGTATCAATGCTAATTAAGACAAGTTGCGAAATCAAGTTGTGCTTGATATTCGAGGTCTTTGCCAAGAGTTAATTATATCATTAAATGTTTTATGGTAGCAGGAACATGTTCCTGAGCAAGATGAGTTTGCATCCAAGTTGGTGTGGGAAACGTGCCTGAATCAGAAGTTGCCATGTGATTGATCCTCTTTGTGGCCGATTCATAAATCACCGTTTTTCGGCTTTTCATTTAGCATTTTGGGTACATAGGATAGGACTCATCAATCATATACGGGCACAGGGACCGTAGAAGGTAATACGTTTATTTTTATTTTTTTCAACCTTTTGTTGATGCCCCCATTGTACGGTACGGGAAACGAGGGTTGTTCAAAAATATGGAAAATGTTTAATCTAATTTTATGTCTCCCCATTGCCTTTGCAATGAAGATCCGAATCATTCTTGGCAACCAACAGTTTTGTCTCTTTGAACCTACAGATACGTTCAGATTAATTCTTGGTAAAAATTGCTAGCTAGTTGAAAAACAACAGAGAATATGTAATCTTAATCAAATGTCACGATCTAACCCCTTCAAATTTCTTGAATTAATATATTAACACATGCTCTTGATGTATAATAGGAATGGATTTTCTTTTTCAGAAAACAGTCGTCTGAAATTACGTTAGGTGTCTAAACGGAAGTTCTGTTAAATTCACTACCTGGTTGATAATCCTTTGCACCAGATGTTATAGCCTCCAAAAATATTGAACAGGGTACGGGAAATTTTAAAAAATAAAAAATTCTATTTTCTTATGTAGTTTGTTTGATTCAATTTTTTATTTTTATATTCAAAATTAAATTAAATCAAATTGAACTGCAAATATATTAAATTTATATTATTATTTTTATTCTATTCTTATATGGACACTAATAAAATATTTTATTGAATGCATTAGAGTAAGTTATAGTTTTATATAAATTTATACTGTAGCAGTCCTACCTCGCATATATTGGTGGGCCTCCATGTTAACTCCTTAACCAAACATATTTTGGAGATTTTCATATCATTCAAATTTAGCACTTTGTAAGCCCAAAACAAAAAAATGTCATACGTTACACCACCGTCAATTGAGCTAGCTACCTGACACATACTGTTCGTGGAACTTTTATGAATTGTTTCGTACTAAATAGCTCTGCTGGTAATTATTCGCATAACAAGATCATCTAATCCAAGTTGCTTAGAAAATCGTGGTCGCGACCATGATACACGTACGATGTAGAAAATTAGTTAAATTACCCTAAGAAGCTAATTAATTTCATTGATCTAAAGTTTTCATTTAACCAAAAACTATATTTGTATTCCCAACTGGTGGCAGGTCTACATCTGGTTTGGCTGCTGACCATCATTATCAGTTTATTCAAGTTTGTTACACTGCCCATCAGAAATATATAAAATACACGAGCTTCTGTAATGGATTATTCTGGTCTCATAACATGAGGATCATATTGAGAAGACACAAAGGTAAAATTATCAAGTCCCTATAAAATGTTAGATAAGAATATCGGAGTTGTTTCATCTTTATGAACAGTGAAGTCCTTATAATTTTCAATTAAGTCGAAGTGGGGAAAGCCTAACTGTATTGTTCCATGTCTAAAACTTGGGGATATCCGGAGAAACTGAAACTAATGAAGGGCGGGCTTTGTGGTTATGGTAAGTTCTACTAAAAGAATTCAATCAATGAAAGTGGTATCCGATTCATTTTATCAGTTGAATGCAGGCAATGCTTTAACAGGTTTACGTATCCTATTCATTGTGTTTCAACTGGCAATGGTAAACTAACCCGTTGAGGAATGTGTATAAGAATGTGCAAGAAATTTTAGTCACAGGTGTAAGGACAGCTAAACACAAAAACATAGTCGCATGATCAACTAACAACATGATATGAACCCCGAATTTGTCCCATAAGTGGGAAATAATATGGACCGAGTATAAGAGATTATGACTCTGATCAATGACAAGGCAGTATCCCAAAGACTAAAGTATCTAATAATGAAAGTGTTGGTTACAAATTTTGAGTAGATAATCTGACATTCGGAAAGTGCACCATTGGTTATGACACAGAGAAAGGGAAATGAGGGATAATAATGAAATTAGATTAGAAAGTTTCATGTTAAGTAACAATAACATGTGCACAATTATACAGATATTCCCATAGTGATTTTTTAAATGGTTTCTCATCCACAATAAACAAATTCTCGTGTAAGGCAATCGAGGAGTCGTAGACCAACTACAACAAAAGAATAAAGAAAAGAAACCAACAACACAGAGTAGCAAGCCGTGCGGGATACCTTAGAAATTCTCAGGACTATCATCCAACTGTTTCTCGTCTTCTATATCAACCTCTAAAATCTCCTAAAACCAAAGCATGAAAAAGGGAACAAGTTATGTAATTGTGAACAGAACTTAAAACTTGCTTTTTAACCTAAAATAGGATAAATAGTTTAGTAATTATTAATTTATATGATATAGCAAACTATAAGTTTAGTGGTGATTAAAAGTAAATGTTTTTGCCTTGAAGATAGCAAAAGAGACTTACAGGAATCCTTTGTTTAAGATAATTACCGACCCTGGCAAGGACCGTGGAACGCTTGTGCCAAAACCGACCCTTTAGGCTAATCTTCACGAAGGGTCCATCCAACTCAGCCAGTTCAACCACTCCTTAAATTAGATACGATGAGGATTATCATATGTAAGTGTAGTGTAACCTTGTTATTATTACATAATACATAAATAACGAACATAACAGTAACACTTACCTGTGATACCAACAGAAGTGTCAAAGATCTGACCCAGCTCCTCTCGAGCGTCGACCAAAACCTGTCTCACGTTGTTTTCTGTGAGGTCTAGTGGCGATGGAAAGCGAAGACCCGCTGATAAAGGTTTCAACATCCTCCGTTGTTTGACGCGTGTCATGCGCTTCAATGATTGAAGTGGAGAATTGGGTATGTGGACGTGACTCATTTTTAATGGCGGCTTTCGGGTATGGTAACTGGTGGAGTTGCATAGAGATAGAGTAGCCGGTGACTGTGTGAGTGAGCTTACATTATGGTTATGGATGTGAAAGCCACAACACAGGCCCTTCTTGAGTTGGGACATACTCTGTCTTCTTTGGGAGATGTTCAGTTGCCTGAATTTCTATGCCTGGGTAGTGGGTATCCAGATTTGGATATGAATGGATAGACAACTAGGACAGGACACTTGCAAGCCAATGCTTCCCACATACGAAGTTTCTAAACCTAAAATTATATTTAAAAAAAGTATGTTATACCTTAAATCAAAGACCATTTTTACTTAGCCTAGGCTGTGTCTTTAAAGAAAGTAAATAGTTCTTTAATTAAAAAAATACATTTAAGAAATTATTGCAATTATTTTTTTTAAAATTAATTTTAGTACAATCACAATTATTCAAGTAATTAAAAAATTTCGTTATAAAACAGTTTTTCAAACTTTTACTTTTTTGAGATAATAAAAAAAAATGATAATTTCAAAAACTCTCTCAAATATGGGCCAAGTCATTTAAAAAAAAAGGGTTGCCAAGGCATCCTATTGCAGTGTATAGAAGCTTAAGTAATGTTAGATTTTCTTAAAACAATTTTTAGTAGCCTCATTGATTTCTAAGAGAGAAAATATTAATTAAAAGGTGTGCATATGCTTAATACATATTCAATAAATTAAGAATGTAGAAAGCATTATCTTTATGGTCATTGCTATTTTCCATCTTTATGATTTTATCTTCGAGCACTTCAGACAAGGAGAAAGTAATGGTAATTACGAGAGCACATTGCAGCCATACTTACCTTTTAACATTCTGAATACACCTAAAATCAGTTTCGTATTTCTTCTAGTCAAGGAGTTCCTTGCTTGACAAAGTCAAAGTCACATAAGTACGACTGTTTATATCTCCATTATTAATGTATTGTCCATAAACAATCGTGATATACATCATAAATGAAGAAATGGTAAAATTAATGCATAATTTGTTCCAAAAACCAATCAGGTAAAGCGGTATGCAATTATAACTATTAACCAGGCCCTGCCACTCAATAATTTCAAAAAACTCGAATCACATTATACAAGATCTTTTTTACACCCTTAATTGATACAAATGAGCATTTGCTACTCTTAACTATCGTCCTCCCTAAATCGCAGCGAAGTACTCTTTGCTAAGTTTAGGGTCTGGTTTCATGGACTTCTCACCAGGTTTCCACCCAGCAGGGCAAACTTCATCTGGGTTCTCCTGCACATATTGCAAGGCCTGGAGGACCAATGCACATAAATGGGAGCAAACAATTTATATGAATGATAGAAGGGTAAAGGAAACAAAGAAAAGATGGAGATGTACTTAAAAAGTGTTCAATCCTGCTGTTGTCCTAATTAGACGTATAATTTACCTGAAGTGTTCTCAATGTCTCATCAACACTTCTACCAATAGCCAGGTTGTTAATGGTAGAATGCTGAATAACCCCTTCCTTGTCAATAATGAACAAACCTCTCAGCGCAATCCCCTAAATCATCGGAAACATTTAAAAACATAGTTACACGTGTCCAAAAAGTGGAATGAAAAGCAAAAGTTTCACTGCCAACATTTCACTACTCGACACAAAATGCTAAAGGTATTATACACAAATAGTCAGCATCCTACATTTCATTCCACTATTCCAGAGAACATATTGAAACTAAAGCACAAAATACATTGGGGTAGGCAGGAAAGGAGAATGAATAGCCATAGTTTAGGTCAGGTTAACAACATACCTGATCAGGAATGAGAACATCATAAGATTTTGATATGGATTTGGTGATATCAGAAATCAAAGGATACTTCAAGTCGCCAAGACCACCAGACTTTCTATCTGTTTGAACCCATGCAAGGTGCGAAAACTACAATAATAACAATAGCACCACTAATCAAGAAGAAGCAAACTTTAGAAGTGCCTTCATAGAAAAAAGAATAGATCATAACATAAACAGGTATTGAAAAACACATTTCAATTCTCGAAGTTCAAATGGAGCCCGTGCCCAATATTTGACTTTCCATTAGTTATAAAGTAATTTCCTCTAATCACACTCCTCCATACATTCTATGTAGCAAGTTTCAAAGAGAAATAAAAATACAGAATCCGTGCAGTTTTGCCAAATATGCTGAGAACTCTCAGTCACAGCTTCTTCCTATAAAATTAGTCACTAATGCCTTAAACTAAGTGAAGACTGCAAGTGGGCCCCAAGTCTTTGCGCACCCTTCACTTTCTACAGCAGCAAATATACACAGGCAGAAGCATGCCATGACAAGAATCAAGAAAATCATACAACAACAAAGCCTATTCACACATTGATGGGGACGGCTACATGGATATAACATTGTATCAAGAAAAGTATGAAGAAAAAATATATATAAGAGCCAGTAGCTGAGGAAATTAAGAAAAAGGTCAAAGCATACTCACCACACTGTCAACTGAAACACCCAATACCTCCGTATTTAGTTTCTCAAACTCTGCATACCGGTCACTGAAAGCAGTAATCTCTGCAGACACACAACAGACATTAGGATGAAAAGGAGAAGAATTAGCACCCACATCTATCTCAATCAGACTATAGTTTAATAAAATGACAACTTACCTGTTGGACAAACAAATGTGAAGTCCAATGGGTAGAAAAAGAGGATAACATACTTCTTCCCAATATATTCAGATAGTTTGACCTGAAAAGACAGTATTTTTAATGAAAGATAATTTCTAATGATAAACTTTCCAAATGGCATTGTATAATAAAGAATTAATGAGAGAAAATATATTTGATCATTTGAGAATCAATTTATATTAGCTTTGACCGGCGGCAGTCTACCTTGATAAACTCCTGATCAAAAACAGCCTCTGCTTCAAAATCCGGTGCTGTATTCCCAACTAATGGAAGTTCACGCTTAAAAAAAGAAAAGAAGAGAAATCACTTCGGAAATCAAGCCAAAGAAAAAATACAGTCTAAAACTTGAGTTTTCAGCTTCATCAAAGAAGTTATAACTGCCAATGATTATAGAAAATGATTCCCACACAAATAAACGATATAATCTAGAAGTTCCGTACAATGGCCATAGCCTTCAAGGATGAAGTGTCTAGAATTCCCATATTGTTTCAAAACATTGTTCTTCTAATTAAAATCAATTTGTACTTGAATGCAAATTGCAACAACAACTTTCATATCTACCAACTAATAATAAAGCTAGACAAAGCTGAAAACAGTAACTCAACCATCACCACAGTCTCAATAATCAATGTAGTTCGGGTTCATTGTCCAGTCACAAAGGCCCATAAAATTTAGCATCTAAGCAAAACAAGTTCGCCCCAAAAATCAAAAGAAAAATAAAATAGGATTAATTTTAATAATGTAATGTAACAAATTTGTAGAGAACCAAGCAGTAACAGAGGGAAGGAACAAAAGTTGGGAACGCCGAGATACTTACGGAAGCCCTGACAACGAAGCTGCGAAGAGAATGAGAAGGGCGGGTGAGAGAAACAGAGGGAGGGAGAGAAGTGCGTAAAGGTTTGCAAAGAGAGTTAGAGGAATTGGGAATGGAGAGGGAAGAAAGGGAAGAAGGGAATTTGGGAGAGAAAAGGATGTTAGGGTTGGACGAGATGAGAGAAGCAGAGGGAACTGAGCAAGCCATGAGTGTGTTTGAGTAAGTGAGTGTGTGAGTGTGAGGTACAGAACAAAGACAACAAATAGAAGATAGAGATCGTATCAGACAATAACAGACCTAGGATACCAAATTACCAATACCATCAAAATTCCTGTTTTCTTTTTAATTTGTTTTCTATATCCAAATATTTTAATAAAAATATAAAAAATTATGTTTAATTCTTTAGCCTGTATTTTTTTCGGACTGTATATTAACAATTTTTTTGAATAACTTTTTATTTGCCAGATTTGATATGTATCTCCACAAAAGTATACGGCATCTGAATTCAATGTTTTTTTAATAATTATTTTCATAATTAAATTTACGAAAATGTTATAATATTAGACGTATTAACATCTACTGAAAAAAAAGACACATTAACTTTTATGTTGAAACCACGGCGACAACTAAATTTACTAGGAAGCACTTAAAATAACTTCTATTTTACATGAAAATTCTAAAAAAATTACATTTTATATACTCTTGAAAAATGTTTTCTTAAAAGCTAAAACAAAATGAGTTTTTTATTTCCTATGAAACACGTAATCCAATGTTTTGCGACTGTCAGAATATAAACTTTAAAATTCTGTTGTTTCTTTTTCCTCTTTCTCGAAAGATGAAAAGGTTCCATAATTCATAACATTACCAAACATGGGCCGAAGAGGATATAAGCCCATTATGACACATTACAAGAGCAGCAGAAACGTTCACAAAGCGAGGTGACCAGACAACAAAGGTGACGTATGTGGGCACGTTTACAAAGATTTATATTCAAAAAGGAAAAAGATATAATGGCAAAACAAAATAAAGAAGATATATGTGGCATGGGATCTTCATTCTTGGCCAAAGCCATAATCAAGAGCCTTAAGTGGAAAAAAAAATGTTTTAACATCTAATACATACTTGATTGAGATTAAAAATAATTATTATTTTTAATTAATAAAAATAAACAATAATATTGTTTTAAATCATATCAAACATTTTTTTATTTGTAAATTAAGAATATCTTGGAGTTGACGTTTGAAGACTAATTCTTTCAAAATATTATTGAAATTAATTTTATTTTTAATCGAACAATTTCTAGTTTAGTGTATATAAATCATTAAAAATTTCATATATAAATATAATAAACATGTACATAGTCACATTTATTCTTGACACATAAATATGGGTATGATATGGGATTAACATTATATAGTTGCATTTTTATCTATAGTTTTTTTGTTAGTAATTATCAATAATTTTTTATAACACATTGTGTTTGAAATAATTGCCACTGCCAAAATTAACTAATCATAGAAGTGTTTAAGAGACCATTCTCTTCCCCAACCCAATTGAGTTCAAATTTATCTTACCATTCAAATAAACAAATAATCATTTGACTTCAACAAATTAACACTAAAGTCTTATCAAGTTGTATAATGTTGACTAGTTGAGTATGGTAAATTTACGAATTTCATTGTCTTTTTCCTTTCTTTCCCTAAAATTTCATTGACGCAAACGAAACCTACTTTGTAATCATCAAGCATATTGTTTTTAACGTTCACAGGCAATTTTCTTTCCTTAACTATAATGAATATGTCATCATAAGACCTTTCAGTCACCAATTTGCAATATTAGGAATTAGGACTGCGTCGTCCCTGGACCTACCTTTCTTCTCGTGAACCCTCATCCAATTTTTTGTGGGTATATATGATACGACAAAGGCAAGGGATTTGGACTTACACTATAATCCAAACTTCAATCACCATGAGTATATATGTATCTGAGTTCGCCCTTTATCAAACTTGGAAAAGTTAGGCCCAATCATCATGTTTATATAACAAAAATAAAGCAATTTAAATTTGCGCCTTACGTGGATAACCTTTATCCTCTTTAATTTCCAATCAAATATATGCTTGTTTAAATTATAGTGGCAAAAAATTGTAAGCTGCAAGAAAGTAGCATAGTGCCATACATAACAAATTAGGCCTTTGAGAAACACAGAAAATGACCGCAGACAGAAGGAGAATCACCATTCACACAACAAGGAAATTAATTATGGGATATTTAGACTTAAACTTTTCAAATCTTCATTTTTCGTCTCTTTCCGGAAAGAAAGTGATGCTTACTAAATAATTGAGATACAATGCTAATTAAACATTTTGGGGCCACGTTTTGCGTGTGTTCCCCTCCTACTCTGAACTTTCCTCCATTTAGTTATGCCATTGTTTAAATATTTAATCATATCTGAGCTGCGAAAAAAATTAAAGAAACTTGCACATGGACCATGGTTACACAATTTCAGAAACATTAATTTAAAATTTTAAACTTTATTTTTTTAAAATAATAAATAAATTTAGTTACTCAACAGATATACTAATGTTGGATCAGGGCAATACAAATAAAGTAATAAAAATTTACAACATTTCGTTTATAAACTGTATGAGATCTTTATTAAAACATTTAGGATTTGTTTATTTAAAATTCATGTAAGTTAATTTAATAAATTGATTTTTAATTATTAAATAAAGGTATGTATTCAAGTAAAACTCTGTCGTAAATTTTGTATTGAAACATGTACTATAAGGGAAGAAATTGATTATGGTATTTGATTAATGATTTATTTAAAATGTATTAATAGTATAAAGTTTTTCATACTACTGACATAAATGACAGGTGAAAGGAACAAAACATTGGAAAAAGTAACAAATGAACAAATTTTTAACCAATTACGAACAAGATTTGTAAACAGCACCCTTGACTTACATTGCTACAACTACGACCAGAAAAAAGGATATGCATTTGGGAAACAAAAAATAAAAACGCAAGCAATAATTGCAATGATGATATAACCTTAATTTTTTTTTTTTTTGGTGTACATATAAGGAATCGCGTTTTATTCCACGCATTTTTGTTTCGTTCAACCACTTCCACCGTATCCGCGTGTTTCTCGCTCCGACAACATGGCAGACTCCAACAACGTTCTACAGCCAGAGCCGCCAACCCTCCGCCGCCGAAACTCCATCACCGCCACATCGGCGGCGGCGCCCAACAAACTTACCCTCCCAGCAACGCCGCCGCGCCGCACCACGAGCTTGGACCTCATCTCCCCGTTCTCCTCTTACACATCCCTGAGAGATGTGCTTCCTTCTCCCAACGGCGCCGTGAACTCCCCCACCGCCGCCGCCACCGCCGCCATCACATATTCCTGCTACGAGATCTCCATCCGCAACCGCCTCGTGAAGCAAGCTGCTTGGGCTTACCTTCAGCCCATGTCGGCTTCCCCTTGCAGCTCCTCCAGCCCCCACTTCCTCCGCCGCCTGTCCACCTCTTGTCTCAGCTTCCTCTACCACCACCTTGTTCCCGTCGTCGCTAGATTCTTCCGTCGAATATTCCGTCGTTGCTACCCTTGACAATTAAGTCTAATCATAATCACTTGATCAAGTCCGGATTGAAGAATGGGAGATATATATGTTCCTCATTCTTCTTTTTCCTTTTCTTGTACAGAATATTTATAGCTTTGCGTTTACGAAGGAATAAAAGAATAATCAATTAATTAATCACTACTGAAATTGTTTCAAAAGAGATGGGGACAAGAACAAAGCAATTTTGGTAACGTATGTTACAAGCAGAAAGTATTGGCTATGAGTTGGTTGACTAATGGGGTTGACGTATGTACAAAAAATGTTACAATTCCCAGCCTTGTGATGGCTCTGTTGAACCTGTGCTTCATGATCTGGTCCAGGTTCCATTCTTTCCTTGGTTCCCCCTCTTTCACTCTCACAACCCCTTCTTGTTCTTGCGCCCGTTTTGATTGTTTTCGAAGAAAGACTCTCGTATTGAAGACAATGGTGGGGCACTTGGAGTTGGACCAAACTCGTCTTTTTTCTGCAATTCAACATTATCTTCAGCATCGGTATTAGCAATAAATGTTAATTTATTTGTGGGCAAATATAGATTAACTAGGAAATGGATAACTGTGATGTTGCTTTTGTGAATATGTCGTTGCTGGACAATCAATACACATCATTGCTTTCGATTAGGAGTGCTTAATTTTTGTTTCACATGCCTACTATTTCTTGGTACTAGGTGATTCGGGAGTTCCATGCCACAAATTTTGAAAACGATATCACCAGCCTTTTAACTTTAGTTTGCAACTTTGTGATGATCCAGTAGTCAATGTAAAAATGGTTTAGGAGTTAGGGTGTTACTATGGAAAAGGGAAATTCACCTTAGTGAAGGATTTGCTGGAAAATTTTTTAGACTGAGCAGCCAAGTAGTCCAAAACCTGAAAAGTGGCAGATTGCCCCAACTCTGTGCAGTTTTGCCAGTAAAAGATGGCCAAATCCCATGCCCTAGCTCGCCACTCTCTGAACTTCTTCTCAATGTCACTTTCATGCCTTGATACATAAGGCCTCAACACAGCATCATAAACATATCCCGTCCCCTACATTAAGCAACATTTATATCATTTAATTGGAAAGAAATTAAAAACATGAAAAATAAAAAATAAACCGTGTAGAAAAGGAGCATGTTAAAGCAGCCAAAAGAGCTTTCTCCTCACTGTTTTAGTCTTATACCTTAGTTTTGGGGTACCACAAGTAGATAAAGAGTGCAAGCTTCAGCTCTCCATACATGGGCAGCCTTCAAAAAGTATTTGGGGTTAATTTATTGCACAAATCTAAATCTAAATTCAACAAAATACAAATAGTTAAAAAATCAAGTACGCACCATCCAATAAATACATCTGCAACCCTTTCCAGTACTGTGAAAAGTGCTACAATGATCCTGCAAGTTCATGATAGACAAGGACATGAATCAGAGGCATTACCGCTTGATCGAACAATGATTAATGATTATTCAACATAAACTTTGACAAGAACAAGCTCAACACAATAAGCGGCATTATACCATCCTCACCCCACATGTACCGGGCTTAAAATACTGCATATGTTCATAAAGGTGCACATGATTCGGTTATGTTTGTTCCGTTTTTCAAGGTATTGACCTCCATTTGTATATTACTAAAGAAGATTCCTTTCTTGGCCAAAACTCAAGGGCTTATTTTTTAATTCTGAATCCTTAGTATGATCTGTGACCATTTCTTGTACACCATAAACACCCTTGTGTCATCATCCCACATCTTCAAAATTCTTATGTAATCGTAGTGACATAAATTATAACGATCACGCAACCAATCAAAAGCCAAATAGGAATATTTCAGAACCATATTGCCAGAGAAAGGGAAGGTAAGTTCATGTACCAGTATTGACACCAGAAACGAAGTTCCTCATTGTCGACCCTATTTTTCTCCACGGTTTTGTAGCATTCAAATCCAGGATATGCATACCCCAGAAGCAGTCTGAAACACACAAAAAAAATGATAGGAGATGTTGGATAACATAACAAATTTAAACAAGAAGAAAAGTTGTAGAGAAAAAAAAAATCATAAATTGAAACAAGAAGAAGTGTATACTTACATAAGACATCGAGTGAGGAAATCCCCTAACATCTCCGATCCTTAATGCATCAACAAACAATCGCGGAAACTATAAAACCAAAGCAAGCAACTCGTCAAAATTCTGAATTGTCAAAGCCTTTGGTTGGGGCATTAGCAGTTGCAAGACACGATCATGTCTATATATTTTCTCCTTAAGATAAACACAGAGAGAGAGAGAGAGAGAGATAGAGAGAGACTGTGGATCAGCATTTACCTGTTGCTTTATGAGAATCCAACAAACCCACGACAGGGTTCTGAGTCCCACGTTTGATAGAGTCAGAGGATGTCCAAATTAAAACTTCAAACCGCTTGCTTGGTATTTAGGTGCCGGCAACCGCTAAGGAAAATGAACAGGTCAAAACTTTTGAACTTTGTAAAATTGATGGGGTTTAATTAATTCTCTGGAAGAATGAGTCTGATTCCTTATATGAAACAGAATGATGAAGAAGCCTTGAGGACAAACATATATATATATATATATATAGGAAAGGAACGCAGTCATACAAAGGAACTATCGAAGAAATGTTATTCAAAAATAAACAAAAGCAGGGGAGATAGAAATATTAAGCGGGATTTCTTGGCACGTACGCTTTTCTTTAACTTTACACGCAACTCCCGGGGATTCTGCTTAAACGGATTCACCGTTTAGCAATTAAGGCACGCACCAATCCAAGGCCATTTACGTCATTTCGCATCGATTATTCCACTTTGATTTTGTGTATAAGCGTTTCCTTTGTTGATTAAGTCAATTAGAGTGAGGAAATCACTTTATCGTACCAAAAATATTAGAACAAAATGTAATGGGAAGCTCACACAAATGATGTGGCACAATTTTTTGTCAGAATTTGTAATTTTGTTTTAACTTTAAATTTTATATTTCACATATTTAATGCACCCACTAAATACGTACAAGTCTGCATCATATTTATTCGTACTAAACATCAGCTTTGTTAAAGTAAATATAAAAGTTAATGAATAATAAATAATAGTTTGTATTAAATATTGTATTTATAAATCATGGAAGTAAGTATATCACTCTGTATGGCAATAAAAAAATCTATATTCTAATAAAGACATGGGTTATCATTTTTAATATTTATATGCACCAAGAAGAGAATAAAATATTTGCAGAGATAGAGAGACATAGAAAAAACTTGGGATTAGCTAGATTAGTTAATGTTTAGTTGTAGATAATCTAATTTGTGATGACCTTGTTCATGAATCATGTTTGTTGACCCAACTAAGTAATACTCAATAATAAAAGTGTTCCCTGATTCTTATCTTTATGTGTTCGTCATCGTTCACCTTATTTGATGCCATTAGGCTCCTTAGTAATGGTGAGATGCAACAAACGAAACACACAAATTCATTGAGTTATTAAATGATGCGGAGTAATTTTCACTGATAGTTTAACCAATTCCGGGTCACAATAATGGAAAAAGAATAAGAAATATGATAAATGTCGACGTAGTTCAGTTAGTGATTTAACCAGTTGAAGGAGTTAAGTCCCTCCAACTTTTCTCGTGAAAATATACACAAAAGTGCACGGATATATGATAGGTGCCTTTATATATTCATCAGCACAAGTGATGTGAAGTGTTCTCATTAATGATTAATGTAATAGTATTTCGTGGCTATAAGCAATGCCTCTTAATACAATGGGTAGATTAGGCTTTTAATGTTGAGTTTTTTTTATGCATATATAATGTTTTTATCATAAAAATATGCACAATTTTATATACATATTTATGAAGAAATTAAACCAGTGCTAAAGTAATATTAGGTTAAACATTTTTTTAAAGCAGATTAATCAGTTATTAATTTGATTCATTGGCTCATAAGTGATTTGTGATTAACTATAAATCATATTACTTTTGTAGGCAAACTATTTTCTTGTTATTGTTAGCCTTAGTATTCATTTTCATTACATTATATTCATGTTTGCTAGTCTTAATTAACGAAACAAACATGTCGATAAAATTAATAATATGTTTTTTATAAGAAATGTATTTTATGCAAAAATATAAAAAGAGAAAATAGTTTACTCGTTTAAAAGTCTTAAATAGCAAAAAACAATAATTTGTCATGGGCAGTCAAATATTGAACGTTTGACCAAATATTGGTTGAAATGTAGCAGAAACCTCCTCATTGGTCTATCCTCGCGTTACTGAATTGAAGATCTCTTAACATTTGTAGAGAGGAGAACACACATTTTATTTTACTTTTTCTAAAATGGTGTTCTACCAGTTTATGTCATTTAAATGCGATATATGCTTTTATTGTTGTGCTCGTAACCCTTTCACATCAGTAAAAAGAAAAACAGTTACATACCTCTAGTAAACATTTTTATTTTAAATTATAAATATTTTTTATAAAAAGAAAAATTTTATTCGAGATACATAGTTTATGTATATGGTTTTCTTTTAGATAATAAAAATTATTATAATCAACTTGGGCATAATAATAAGACAGAACTAATCACACACGGTGTAAATTCGGAATAAGAATTTCAATTAAATGTTTAAAAATAATAACTAAAACAACGTAAATAAATAACTAAGGAATACAATTGTTGTATTCACTGTACAAGCCTGTTTGTTTCTTTTGGATTTGGTGTATTTTTAAATAAAATAAATGATATTCTCTTATACTCTATAACAAAAGGTAAAATGAATGTGTAGAAGAGAAAAATAAATAAAATATATATCATAAACGATATAATAAAGAAAAAATACAATAAATGTAAAAATTAAAATTTTTTGAAATATCTTCAACACAAGTTAAAAGGTTTAAGTATTTTAAAAAATAATTATTCAACTAAGTTAGTATAAAGTCATAATTTCAAATATTTCCAAAAAAACAATGCATCATCATAATGAATAAGGCAATAAAAAATAAGTGTCAAATGAGCATTTCTTCACTTTTTTTTTTTTTCTAAAAATGCTTAAAATTAATTTTTTTACTATATATTTGATATTCACCCTTTAGTATTTACGTCATTGCTTATTTCATACAATACAATGGATATATACATGTGATAAATAAATATTTGTCTGCTTTTAAATAAAACAACAGAGTTATTAATAAATTATTGTCTCTGTCGCTAAATTTGAGTTTTATGGAAAATAATACTCACGGATGTAGATATGCGACGTAAGCAAGAGTGGCGCGCCATGTTTGGTCAATTTTAGCCAACTAAAATCACAATTTTTATTTTATCTTTTTTTTTTTTTTTAACTTTGATGCCTTTATTTCGATTTTTCAATTGTTTCAGAATTTATATAGTGTACATTGTTAATATAAAGGAGAGTAGAATAAATTTATATTCATATTTAATAACACACGCACCCCAGTTAAATTCTTAGTTTTATATTATCAACTTGCCTAACAAGTTTAATAATATCAATAAGTGTATTATCTGTTAAATTCATTATAGTATTAAATAATATAATAGTGCATTGTAAATATAATTGTAAACTTATTTGCAACAACTGTATATCAATATTAAATTTTTTAAAATGTTAGAAAATTGGTAATGTCACGCACTGAAATTAATGAAAAGGGATTTACCTAACCAGTGTCTTTAACAAGATCTTGATCTTTTTTAGTCATTTAAATTTGAGTCTCCACTCTCTGCGCAATTTATCTACTAATTTAAAAATTACAATAACCCAGAGCAAACAAGTGGAATTAATTGAAGTCACGTTTAATCAGATAAGAACAGTAACCTTTTTTTTCTGGCAATGACGTGAGTCTTGCACAAATAAATTAGGAATGGCAAAAGTGATGGAATTATATACATAGCGTGAAAGTCATGAGTGCAGTTGATATTTGGTTTGGATTGTACTCATCCGTTTTTGACTTGATCCTTGGGCATCCAGAATGCGATGCTTATACGATTTCTTAATTAAGTAATTTCAAAGCGGAAAGCGAGTCCAATCTAGGAATTTTATATACACCCTGGTCACGTCAATGGGGGAAACATATAAAAGGCTATCCTTCTCAAAGAAATTGCAGCGAAAACGACTTAATTATGCTAATGGTAAAAGTAAAACATGTTTTAGCGTAAACATAAGGTCAACAACCCCATTCTTTATGGGCAATCATTGCTTGGCCTTCGAGTATTTAAATGAATAAGAAACTTTTAAGCTTTGTTGGGGTTTATCGTGATTGGGTCGTAATTGAGCTGTTATATCATCTTCTAGTAAATTTATAAATAATAAAAGAGGAAGATTTTTTAGTGGAAATAAAATTTTAAGGTAACAATTCAACTTAAAAGGAAAAATAAGAAGTAAAATAAAAATAAAAGGAAAGATTACAAAATTTTTTTAAAAAAGATGATGAACAATATTTATATAGTGCATCTATATGTTTTTAAAATAAAATTAGTATTTTTATCTAAAAAATATTTATTTAAACTATTTTTACAAATTAAATAATTAAAATAAATTAAAAAATATTTTAAATCAATTTTTAGTATCTAATAATATTTATATAATAAATTTGACTATTTTTACGATATTATCTCATTTATCTCACATACACATATACATAAATTTATAACTAATATTTATTTATATTTTAAAACATATATTATATTAATAAATATCAAGTAATTTTTATATAAAAATTACTCAGTAAAATATTTGAGTTAATATAATTTTATTAAATATTAAAATAATATTATTATTGATCATAATCTTATCTGTCTTGAACAAATTATTTTTAGTGAAGGATATCTATAGTCTAAATAAAAAAAATAAACAATTCAATGGTTGAAATTTATATTTATAAAAAAATTAATAATAATAGTTTTTTTAAAAAATAAAAATATATCTAATATTTAATATAATTTTTATTATTATATCACCTATGATTCAGTTGCGTGTGATATTTCAAGTTAAACTGTAGTTTTAAATTTATATACTTTGAAGACCATGAAAGATGCACTTGTTTAAAAAAAAAAATTTACTAATTTAAAAATATGCTTTCCATTAATTCAATTAAACTTGACATATAACTGAAGTTAGAAATTTACGCTAAGAATGAATCTTGTGCATCGGTAAAGTGATGATTTTATATATTTTTTAAAAAAATTGTATCAAATCAAATAAAGCTACGAAACTCAAGACTACCAAAAATTCCTATAATAATAAATGTGATTTAAGTAAATTTTGTATCTTTTTCTTTAAATTTTTTATTTTTCTTCTTCTCTTTCATGCTTAATAGTTCTTATCCAACATCCATATTTAGCTTTTTTCATTCTTCTCTCATATCTAACTTTTATCTTCATCCATCTACTCCTCTTTTCTCCATTTCACCCCACCTTCACTTCCATCTTTACCTTCCTTTTATTTTATACTTAACTTTTTTCTTTTTCTTCCAATTTTCATACTCATTATTCCCTCTTTTCTCATACCTATCTTATTTGATGAGAAAAATATTATTTTTCATAATTTTTAACTTGTAAATAGAATTGGTCTCAAATAATATTTTAAAATTTGTGCGCTTATAGTAAATGATATAAATTGTCTACTAAATACTTTGGTTTGATCCCTTTTTATTATATGAATTTTTTTTAAATATTTTGCATGCATAATAATAATATTGTACGTAGTTGAAATTTGATAATATAAAACATTTATTTCGCTAGAATAAGAAGATAAAGAGGGAATTGAGAAAAGAAAAAATACTTGAATATAAAAAGAGATTGAAGAAAGTTAAATATTAATATTTAAAAATAAGTATTAAATATAAAAAAAAAGAAGAAAGATAAAAGATTGAAAAAGTAAAACATAAAATTTACTTAAACCGTAAAATTTACTTTAAGTCAAAAAATTAGTTTAAATAAATTTTGTTTAAATTTTTTTATCAATTTCTCAATTTTTATTTAAGTTAGTAAAATTTAACTTAAATAAAAATTAGATTGAACTTCTAATTTTGACGCAACCTAAAGAGAATATGAGTTTTTTTTTTTTTTTAAAGGATGTTCCCCTTGTCAGAATCAAATGAAGATATTTTGGTAGACTAATATCGCCTGTAGCTAATTGTAGCGTCTAATAAGGAGATAGGATAAGTGATATTACTCTATGTAAGCAAAGCAGCTACAAGAGAGAGGGTCTTAAAATGAATATTTGTTATCAAATTGACATAATTCGTTTTTTCTAAACCATACATGCCCAATTACACGTGTAACTAATTTGACAACTGGGTAATTAAACGTGTTGAGTTTAAACAGCAGCTCCTTCTCACTCCGCATAATATGCTCTGAAATGCTTCCTCGCCTTGCTTGTTATACTGCCTCAACCCTCTCTCACTCTCTATTGTTCCCTTCTTCCGGTTCCACTTCCAGGTACCTTCCCTCCTATGCATTTTCATCTTCCTCCTTCCTTTCACTTTCACTTTCACTCTCTCTCTATTCCTCAACTTTCTCACTCCCTATAAGCACCTTCCACTCCACAATTATTAAATGCAGAGTGACAATTATGTGTTTATTTACTCATATTTAACTATTTTTTTATTTAAAATATTCTTACTATTAATATGATAATAAGCATATGCATTAATTTTTTTTACATTTTCAACCGGATAGGATATGCGAACCTTATATATCCTAATTTCTCTGCCATAAGGTTTTCTGCTATTGGGATCCACAATTTTAAAAGCAATTTCACGTTCGTAATATTTTGTCTTCCAGGACAAGGTTTAGTGTGAAGTGTGTGAATAATAACATGAGTGTGGACAGTAATTTGCTTGCCAAGGCTAGAAGGCGTGCTAATTTTCGATTATGTAATGTGTCAGGGTATGTCATGTAATCTCGATCCTTCAATTTGACGACGATTTAATTACTTATTTGTTTATTCATTTAATCAATTTTGTTTTGTCTTTTTTCAGTTACACATCTGAAATATTGGAGATTCAAGCTGAGGCTCCAACTCTGCATGTTCTGTTTGTTCCTGGAAACCCAGGTGTGGCTTCTATTATTTGTTCGCTTGTTATGTTTCTTTTCCTATATATTTGTTTTGTTGTGTCTTTTGCTATGTTGGGTTACTGCAGGTGTTATTTTATTCTACAAGGACTTTGTGGAATTTCTATATGAACTGCTAGGAGGAACTGCGTCTGTTACAGGTGTAGTGACAGTCGTTTCTTTCTGGTTACTTATAATATGGATCTATGATTAACAACTATGCTTACTGATCATGTTTCTCTGTGAACTAGCAGCTATTGGCCATGTTTCGCACACAAGAAAGGTACCTGCATTTTGTTTTGTTTGATTTGACTGGGTGGCATTAGCATGTCTCTTACATTGAGTTTTGTTGCTAGAACTGGGAACATGGACGCTTGTTTTCTTTACAAGAACAAATTGATCATAAGGTAATGTAATGCTCACTATTTGAGCTTAAAAGATGATTGGCTGGTTTTAGTGTAAGAGAGACTGGCAAATGGTTTCATTTACAAATTGGTTATACTTGGTGTACTGTACAATGGGATGTCCTCCCTTGCGGCTGCTCCTTCGATTGCTACTAAAAAGTTTTGAATAAATTAGGGAATGATAATAACTTTGAAGTCTTTCATTCTTTTTTGAACTTCTATGAAACATTGTAGATTTATCTATGTATTGTGAGATGGTATGGAAACAGTGGCAGAAGTTAGTATTTAAACTTTTATTTCATATTGTAGTTTGTACAACTGTTGACCCAAAAGAAGAATTATCTTCATGGAATTGCTTCTTTGTGAAGTTCCACTTTTTTGTGAGCATGTTGAGATTTCCTCATATTTAAGTCACATGCATTCCTGTATTTTTTGGGACTTAAAATTTTTGTCGCCTTTTTCTACTTCCATGCTTGATTGCCAATCTTCATTCTTGATTTAGATAAATTTAGTTTGACAGTATTTTGATGTGTGATTATAGTCTTCATTTTTCTTGTACGTTTGTAGATTGATTTCATTAGAGAGCAATTGCAAAATATTGAGATTCCTATATTACTGGTGAGTTCTTTTATGTCTCACCTCCATTATTCTTCTCAAATGTCATGTTGATTTATGATTTGCAGAGTTGTATGAACTAAAAAACTAAATTTCTGCATAATGACCAATAATCCTTATTTTCAGAAAAATCATAATTATGTGATAATACAAGGATGCAAATCTTTCTTCATTGTTTAATGACGGTGTTTGGACATTTAAAATTTTGGTGTAAATAACATCCTTTATTTTGTGTTCACGTGCCAGAAAACTTGGGCTGCAAGGCTGACTATGTTACATAAGGGATGACATTCAAAATGCAACTTAGAGTGGGAAAAATGCACGTGTAGAGTTTCTGATATACATGTAGAAATAATTTGTTAGATTGCTGTTAAAAAAAGATAACCCATGAGATTATAGTATAAGAGGTAGTATCAAATTAGGATATATTTCTTGTCATGACACATGACTTTAATCAATCTCCCTTCACCTTTGAGAATAAGGATGGTATTTAGAGATACTGAAATCAAAACTTGTTTGTCGGCCAACATCCTTTTATAAACTAAAAGTGAACAACATTGGACAATCAGAAATGAATCAATTGAATCTGGTTCTTGGCTAAAGTTACTTGCAAGCAATTGTTATCCGCTTTCTTAAAATATATGGCTATTGATTTGGGAAACTGATAACCATATTGCAAGAGGGTTTGATGAAATTGTTGAACTAAATTGCATTATTCAAAAGTTGTTCTGCATATAGAAAAGTTTAATTTCATTTACTGAAATGAAATTTTGGGAGCTAATTTAGAATTTTTCTTCAGGTTGGGCACTCTATTGGTGCATACATATCTATTGAAACATTCAAGAAGTCTGCAGAGAAGGTAGTTGGAACTTGGAATTGTGCTTATTTAATTAACTGAGCGCATCACACCTGCCAAATGTCCATCATTTCTGATCTTTGTAAATTGTCTACTTGCATTTCTCTTGGTTTTTGTAGGTGAAATTTTGTGTTGCACTTTATCCATTTTTGACATTAAACCTATACTCAACCCAACAGTTAGTTATTGGAAAAATTGCGAAGTAAGTTTCACCCCCTTCCTGAAGTCAAACCTCTTTGACAATATCTACTTTTTTTGAGATGGCATGAACTATTAGTGATATTATGAGTTTAGATATCACAATTTTGACGTGGTTCACACTCTATTTCATACTTCATGGGATTCAATTTACACTTAAAACATTTTTTATAATTTGATCTGAACCTAAATTTCAGATAAATTGAAAAATGGTAATTATCAATCTATTACTGGTTATTGCTAAATATTTAGCATCAAAAGATAATCATCCTAAATTTCATTTGAAAAGCTTAGAGTAATTTATTTGAGATGACTAATGGTATGTGGATTTCAGATCCCAAATGCTAGCTGCTGCTATAAGTTACCTGATAGCATCATTAGGATTGTTGCCTGTCCAGGCTTTAAGGTTTATTGTCAAAAACTCCATTGGGAAGTCTTGGTCAGCCAGTGCAGTTGAGGCTGCATGCTCTCATTTGTCACAGGTTAGCTTTACTGCTTAAAGAGAACTTCAATGTTCAGTCACATTAAACTTGCACTTGGTTCTTTTTTTTTGTCTTTCTTATTATTGATCCTTACATTTATATTTGAAAAATTGGAATAACAAAACTAAAAAATTTATCTATATTTTATTGATACTGATTTATAGCTTTTTACTGTGGGTTGAATCTGCACTTTTGTTGTATTAACTCTATCCTTATTGACTTGCAGTGCCATACCATGCGGAATGTCCTCTATATGGCCATGACTGAATTTAAAAAGGTAACGATGCTTCCTTTCTATGAATATACCTTTTAAATTTTATAAATTAAAATGAAACTGTTTCCCTTCTTTTTACTTTCTAGCATATTTTTTCATTTACATATGATGTTATTTTGTTGGTGTTGACTAAACAACCTAGCACTGTTTAATCTTCACCCACCCAGTGGACAAAGGCTTTAGTTGCTTTGCCAATGTTCAACTTTTGAACTCCCAACATTTAATTAAAATTTATAAAAAAAATAAAAATAAATTCAAAGCTTGAGAAGTTATAATTAAAATTTAACTTTATGTTAAAGATTTGAGTTTTTATTTATAAGATATTTTCTTTTTGTTAATGAAATATATTGAATTTTTATATAACAAATCCTTGGAGTATTGTGTCCTATTTTAAAAAAAAAATGTATGGTGTCACCTTATTTTTCTTCCTGTCTGTATCTTGTGTTGCATTCGTGCTTCCTAGCTCTTAACAGTTTACTCATAGCTGCTTGGTCTGACTGATATCTGACCTGCACATTAAGCCATACTCTGTCCTCTAGAGTGGCATAGTTCCCATTCAAATTGTAGCTATTTTATGAGTATGGTGGGCTTTCTACTCAACCTTCTTATATACAGGGAGATTAAGCATAAACTTCTTACATTTTTGTATGCTTATAATAAATATACAATGTTAAACTGCATTGATAATCATGTGCTTACCATGTTAGCTTTCAGAGACACCAGATTGGACATTTATAAGAGAAAGAAAGGCTCAATTTGCATTTTTATTTGGTGTTGATGATCACTGGGGTCCATTTCAATTGCTTGACGAGGTATCTTATTGTTTAACTTAGCTACTTTTATTATCTGGAAAACTTTTGCTTTATCTTAAGGTATGAGACTTGAGAATTGTACCTAAAGCATCCAAGTCCTAGAATGCATGTGTAGGGTAATTATATGCTTGAATTTTTATCCTAGTCTACATGACATTTATGTCCCAAATGCTGCAATTTTTTGGAATGATTAGATGGATGTTCAAGAAAGTTTATTATCAAAGTTGAATGCCCTTCTGTTATCAATAATGAAAGAACTTGTATGAACACCTGCAACAATTTTTCTAACAAGAACTACCTTGTGATTACTTCCTTTCTCTTTCTCCTTTATCCCTAGTTTAAGCTGTGGGCCTTTTGTTGTGAGTAAAGCAAAAAAGTTTAATAAGTGTGTTCTAGTCTAAAATATATATGTACATCAAACTAAAAGGTTAAAGTAAAATTTCAATACCTTAAATGTAAAAATGTGATAATTACTAACCTTTAGTGGTCCACCATTTTTCTTTTTGATATTTCACTTCTTTTTCTTTATTTTTTTAGACAAAAGGTATTGGGATAAATTGATGCGAAAATAAAATAGAGTATTATGTAACCTGTTGATAAAATTGGGTGAAGCTGTTGCGCGGTATATGAGGAGGCTAAAACACCAAAGTATTTTTTTATCAATTGACTACGAGCAAATCATGCAAGTAGATTTTGATATTACATTCAACTTTAAACCTCAAGGTTATTAGGTTTTTGGTCCCTTTCTTATATGAAACTTTCTTCACTCATACTACCTCAATCATCTCTTTCTCAAGTATGAGTTCCTTTTATTAGGTATATTTCTCCTTTAGCAAAAATCTTTCAATTTTTAACTACGAGTATTCATAGGTAAACAAGAGTATTATGCCCATTATTTTAATATTATTTATCTCAACTTGTACTGTCGTTAGTTCTTATAAAGAGGACACATGAATCCACCTCTAATTCACTTTACTATTCATGAGTTAATCACTTAGACAAACTATTGGCTCTAATACCACTATTGGAGAGAGAAAAATGAGTCATTTGAAATCTCCATCTTTAAAAGCACCTAAATGAAAAGGAAAAAAATAGAGAGAAAAAAAACATATAAATTTTAACGTTGTTTGACACCACTTACCTACATGCAAGAACTCCTAACATAATTACAAACTCCTCCACCTATAACTTTTGGACTTGAATACTACATTCAACTCAAAACTTTAAAGTTATTAGTCTGTGAATCATTGTTACTCTTATGATGCTTAACTTCTCCATTTGTACTCAATGAGTGACTTTTTCACTTATTGCTACTTTAACAAAAGCTTGGCTGTTAAGAAATACCCGAAGCCTCCCCCTCCCCATTGGGTTTGCCTCTTTTACGTCTCAAAAGTAATGGACTATCTGCTGCTTTGACAAAAAAGAAACCAATGGACTGCTAAAAGAAACAAAATTTAAAACCAACGCCAGCTCCCCACAGAAAATGGACTAAGTTGGCTATTAAGGGGGTGGGGTGGGGGGTGGGGGGTTGTCTTCCAGTGTTTCATATTAACCTCTGTAGTGAATTGGGCATTCAGAGTCTACAGTTTAGACTTTCTTTTGAAATCTTTACTACTTTTGGGCAGAGTGATAAAGTAAATCTTCTTGTTTGTGATGCTATCAAGTAGTTGTCGCGGCAATAAATAATACTAGTTTTCGCATGAAGCATATCTCTGTGTGCCATCCTAAATGGAATTGGAATACCACAAATTCTTGATATCATTAAAATTTAAATTATGGAAAAGAGTGCGGTAAATATTCTTGTAATAACGACAAACATTGATTGAAATGCTAGCCATTATCATGGTGCTTCTGTTTCCTTGTAATTTCTCACTTATTCTTTTCTTCCTCATTTATGGAACATTGAATGATTATCTTAATTTATAGTTTTTCCTGGTTATAGATTTCAAAGCAGGTTCCAGGTGTAGCCATATCCATTGAACGAGAAAACCACACCCATGGTTTCTGTTGCAGCGAGGCTGGTTCATTATGGGTTGCTCAGCATGTGGCAAACTTAATCAAGAACCAGATGGCATGTACAAACCAATAAGGTCTGACTCTTTTGCTATTGGCTTGTGTTAATTCCGAAAAGGATTGAACTACTTGATAAATTTGAAACAATGCTTCTCGGGCATTTATTTTTAATGGTTTTAACATTGCCAACTGTATCTATGATTTGTAGGACCCATCTTCCAGTAAAAAGGAAATGATCACCAACTACATTCCATAAAAGTAAAAACCATCTCCAACAGCATTTTTCTTTTTTTTGTGACCCTTGTCACGAGCTCATCATTGGATGCTTCTTGGTGCTTCATTCCTCTCGAGGTTTTGTCCGGATTGAAGGATAGTGATAAATGGAGTAAAATCGAATGCATAGACATTACTTGTGTAGATTTTTTAAACTAAGGTGCATATGGAATAGAAATGCATTTTTTTATTTATAAAATTATTAAATTACTTTATTATCCTTTTGATTTTTCACACATGATTTTCAGATTTTGTTTCCATATTGAATTTACGTTATCAACTTTGGTGTCAAGTATTAACTTTCAGAAATTTTAACACGAAGATTCTTCCACTGGAAATGTTAGTCAAGGTAGTTAAACATCTTTACCACATTCAAATCTTCGTGTTTTCTCCTCCAGGACCAGGATATTGTGTAACTATTGCAGTATATTATTCATTCCTTGCTTTGAATCGAGCAAAGACCGTCTATTAACTCTTGTAATTCATTAAAGGTCTTTGATGCACTAGTGAAGTGATGCACTAGTGTAGTGTGGTTTGTGCTTACATGCTAATATTCATTATATACGTTTTATTTTGAATAGCAATATTGATTTATGCATATAATTCTAGTGACATTTTTCAATTGTTATGTTGAAAGAGTAATTTTTTTGTTCTTTTAATATTTATTTCTTTTAAAAAAAAATTACCTATTTATTTTATAAATTAAATTAAAACATTAATAAGGGTAATATAAAAATAAAATTTAATGCTTACTATTTTGTTAAATTTTTTGAGAATTAAATTATTTAAATAATAGAACATTAATCTTGGTTTGTTTCACTAATTAAATATCAAAATGTCTTTAAATACTATTAGAAGCTGGTCCTAGAAGAAGCAATGGGTGTCAATTCTTCTCCCAGGGGACAGTTTTGGTGAAGGGTAAATTTTTCTTGTCACTTTAAGCTTAATTGCATTTTTAGTTTTTGTAATTTAAGTAGGTATTATTTTAGTTGTCTAATTTTAATTATTCACATTTTTTTTTAATTTTAAAATAAATATTTCACTTCAAAATTAATATATTTTATTTTATAGTAGAAGATTTAATTTAAAGATTTGAAAATTAGAGCAAAATTACATAGGAGATCAAAACTGCAATTAAGCCTATCCAGTTCAGTCATATTCTGCTGCTTCTTTTTTTCCGTCCTATCCCAGTGACATTCCACCCGACCTTTGTGGGCCTGCCCTATGTTGGGCTGGGCTTACAAGTGAATATGACCTAATGGGCTGGTTTGCTTGTTTTACGTGTACTCAGTCCAAGCATGACAGGTAACATTTCATTTTAAGATAAAATTTAGGTGCAGTTGATAAAGTGTTGGCGGTAGTATTTATTTAGATTATTTGTGATGACTTTATATGTAAATATTTTATTAAAATAAAATTTTAATTTTAATTAGTAAATAGCAGTAATAGAACTCAAGTTTTATCCTTTATTTTATTTGTGCCCTACACAGCATACACCAAAAGGTAGCTTGAAGATTGTTTTTCGAGAAAAAGAAAAACGCGCAACCGCACACTGTATATATGAATTGACTTTAGTAGTAGATTAACTAAATATTATATTTATTTATGCTAAATTAAGTGTTATTTTATGAAAATATTTATTTTAGTCTTTTTTATTTTATTTTTTATCACACTAAAAATGATTAAAATAAACATTGTTTTATAAAGTTATAATTTAATAAAAAAATCAAAATTTCAAGAATTAAAATATATAATTTATACAATTTCGAACATTAAATTAAAAGTTTATTTTAAAATGGGTATTCTTTGATGCCAGATATTGTGGGAACGTTTTTGCTTCTACACTTCAAGTAAATGATATATATTTCATATCATTATTCTTTGTGAATGTATGCTTAGTTTAATACTTTGAACACCGAAAAACCAATTTGATAAAAGTATGAATTATAATAATGACGAAGACGATGTCATAAATGACAAAGGGAAAATCGGTGATGGGGATCAGCCAAATCACGAGTGTCTATCGGAAAGGTTAATCTAAATAAGCTTGTAACTGCCTGCCGTCAATATCGATGCGGTTGTTTAAACAAAATGTTTTTTTATTAGAAATGAATATACCTTTGCTTTTTAATTAATTAAATAATTTGTATCTCTTAATCTTTAAAAATTTTAATTTAATTTACATAATTAAATCATTTACTTTTTTTTTTGTTCGACATTTTTCTTCTTCCTCATTTTCTCTTCTTTTACAAATTTTGAAAAAGACACTTTACATTGTTCCCAAGCATTTGTGTCAATAAGTTGAGCTTATGGTGATACCGCCTTATGTTTTGTTGTCATATAAAATATACAGCACGCTTGAGAAGAAAAAAAAAGTGAACAGAGAAGAAAAGGAAGCATGGAAGAAGAAGATTGGAGAAAATAATAAATAGTGCTTAGTAATTTTTTTTAATAGTTAATAAAAATAGATTTATTTAAATCATATTTAAAAGTTAAATAAGTTAAATTAAAAATTTTAAAATTTAAATATTGAAAATAATAAATAATTAAAGAATTAAAAATATAAATTTATCTTTTAAAATTTTTTTATTGTTCTTAACCTAGCAGAGAGAGAGAGGACTCCCATCTAATTCCATATATGCAGACACGCTATTGACGAAAGTGTGCCAGAGTCTAACTTGTAGTGCTTTTTAAAAAGGTAAAATCCAGTTTTCTAACATTAAAAAGTAATTAGTATTTAATTGGTTGTCGGTTCTTTACAACTTCACGATGAATGTAGTTTACTTTTTAGGAGCTATTTTTTAAAATGTTTTTTATTTTATTATAAACTTATCATCTTATTTTTAATATGTTTTTGTTTTTAAATATTAATATAAAATACTCAAAATAGAATTTTTTTTTTAATGTTTTTATACAAATATTTTTAAACAAAAAACTAATAAAAATAACATAATATAATCAAAAAATAAAAAATATTTTCTTAAAACCTTGGACAAACTGGGGGTGTTATTTTCTCCGCAACTTTTCCGGTTTGAAACAAACATCCAATGGCAGCAAGTTGAGTATATTATTGGCTTTTGTTTCGACTTTTGCTAGTAAATGGAACAAAGAGATGGCCGGTTGCTAACTCTTAACATTGAAATTGAAACATATTGAAAGCCATGTTTGGTACTTACTACAAATGATAGAAAACCAACCTAATCATAAAAAAATAATTTTGTAGGAGAGACTTCTCATATGATCTTATTCAAATACACTTCTATAACAATTTTCACTAACAAAACCGGTTCCACCATATCTATGTTTAAATATTTTTTCAAAATGGGTCTTTTTTAAATTTATTAAAATAGAGTATTCAATTATTTGACTATTAATAAAAAAAATTGACTATTATTTTGTTTGAATTTTTTATATTCTCTTAAAATGTAAATCCACTTTCACATTTTATTTATTATTTTCTTTTCAATTAGTATTAAAGTTAATTTATTTTATTTTTATTGAGATTTTATTCATTTTAAATAAAAGTTATTAATTTTAGATTTACTTGTTGATATTATTTCACAAATAAATATTATATGTGTACTAAGTAATTAACATTTATAATAATTTTTATGTTGGTAACTTTATTTTATTCTAACATTTATATCATTAAATAATTAAAATTATATATTTTTAATCACAACTAATAAAAATTAGAAGTTAAATAATGAGATAAATAACATAGCTATCAACTAAGAAAAAGACAAGTTACAACAAGATGACGAACTTATTTTTTTAATTAAAATTTTTGACTCTTAATGTTATTTATATACTAAATAATAATTTTAAAATTTTTTATTAATTTTAATAATATCTTTTAAGCCTTTTTTAATCTGTAATTTTTTTGGACTAAAACAAAGGCATTAATAGCCTTAAGCTTAGGCCAGTCTTCCTAATTAGTTCTAATTAAAATTTTGAAAGTTATACTAAGAAATTATCTATTTTTTAATATGCATGAAATGAGTGGTAAAAATCATCTTCGCTGTAGAATGACTATTTGTTCAATTAAATTTAATTATGAATAAAAAGTAATAGATATGATTATGCCAGTCAATTTAGATTCACATAATACCTAAATATTAAGACGTATTTAAGAAATATATGATCTAACAATTCACTTTGAGTTTTAAGGTCATATTAATATTTGGGACTATATTTTTGTATAATTTGTTCATTATGCTAAATAGTTTAACTTAATTTGAATATTTAAAAATTAAAAAAGAATAATTATTAGTGATTAAAATCAAATAAATCAAAATTTCATATATATTAAAATATATAGACTAAAATTACAATTAAGCCTAAATAATACAATGAAAAGATTAAAAATTATTATAAAAGTATTATAACAATGTCTATATATTTGATTTTTTCACCACGGTCATAAAATTGAGTAGTGCAATAGACTAATATTTGTTTTCTCTCTCGCGATGCATCATGGAAAAGATCAAATTAAAAAGCAAATATCTAAAAACTATTAACTAAATCATAGAAAAAATAATATATTAAGAATATTCTTGATCTCCTGTCGACATGTTATCTCCTATTTGTCCTTGAAGATCGATCTAATTTAATGCAAATTTAAGTAGGCACATTTTCCCTTTAATTAATCACCATCTACACCTCACAGCAAGACAAAAGAGAGCAACTTGGTTATCCAATTATCCATGCCATTGGCAAAGCCTCGAATGCCTCTGATTCTCAATGCATGTGATCGTATGGCATATCTTCCAGATACCTCGACCAACATATTTTTATCCCAAAAAACAAAAATCTGCGGTCCAGATCACTCTTTACTCAAATAAAGTTCCTCATCATCAAGCAAGTTAGAGCATCATCAAGTTCACGTAGGGACTCATAACTCTTCAATCACATGCAAACCCAATTAAGACCTTGGACGCTTATAATTTCTTTTCAATTTATTATCATTAAATTTATAACATAAAATTATTATTTTAAAAAATTAAACAAACATTTAAATAAATTATATATTTAAATGCAGTCTTTTTCATCCTAAGGCCCAAGCCATCGCCATAAATAAAAAGGCACTTTCCGAAGGCACACATCTCTTTGACTGAGGCAAGATAGCTTGTTCCTTTTCTCTCTTTTTCATGTTAGCAGTACTCACGGAACACTGAAAGCATAGCAATGTCTAGCTCCAGAAAGAAGCTTCTTCTGAACACCGTATCTGTGAAACTAGGCTGCGGCACCTGCACAAGGCCAAAGCTGTGTCGCATATTCCACCCAAAGCCAAAACCCAAGAACCCCACTTACCAAAAACAAAAACTTTACAACCATTCCTCTTCTTCAGCCCAATGGGGTGAAGACAAATATGAAAGTACCACTAGCACCACCAACACCACCCCCACCAACACTGCCACCACATTCTCTCCCTGCTACGTTGATTCTTCACACTTTTCTGACTCTGAAACAAACATGAAGACCCCAGCGAAAGTGAGTGGTTTGGGCAGAGCTGGCAGAGAAGGCGTGGCAGTGGAGAAAGATTCTGATGACCCTTATCTTGATTTCAGACATTCCATGCTGCAAATGATATTGGAGAACGAGATATACTCCAAGGAGGATCTCAGAGAGCTTCTAAATTGCTTTCTTCAGTTGAATTCACCGTATCATCACGGGGTTATTGTTAGAGCCTTCACTGAGATCTGGAACGGGGTCTTCTCTGTCAAGTCCCAATCACCCAGGTTTCACATCACCCGTAAGCCACGCGAGTTCTAAGCCCTGCACGGACGTGGTTAAGGTTAACAAGTTGTCTATGTAGCTGCACTTAGTACTGTGTGAATTGAGAAACCTTGTTGAGTTATGCTACTTATTAGGTTGCAAACGCTGTATTGTACTACACATTTTGATAAACCAAATGTAAAAAGGGAACTTTATTATCTGTTAAGAGTAGGGTTTATTTCTCGCGCAATATAATCAAATTGCAGCCCAAGTTGGAATTCTTTTTCTTTTTCTGGATAGAATTATGAGTAGGATAGTAATAGTTGATTAGAAATAATTGCTGCGTTAACTTCCATTTGTCATGATGGACCATGTTATGTTTGTAATGAAGTAGTGGGTATGGTCCCTTGAGTTGTGTTTGGTGTGTAGGATTTGGTCAAAAATAAATGCCAAGTTTTGAGTGGAATGAGCTAAGGCGAGGGTAGTGGAAAAAAGATAGACATTGGGATTTGGATTATAATAATAAGAATGGTCTGAGTGAAGAGGGACAGTTGGTTTAATGCTTTTCAATGAGATGAGAATAGAAACTTTTGGGACTGACTAGACTACATTTTCCAATGTTGGTATTAAAAGTCTGCTACTCTGTTTTCAGTAGTATTAGCATACAATTTTCCCGTTGGCTCATTAGTTGTTCTTCTTAATTTTTAATAAAAAGTTACTATTCCTTTCATAAATAGTATATATATATATATATATATATTGATAAGTATTTTAAAAATATTTATAATAATAATAGTCTAACTGGTAATTAATATCGTAAAGGAATGAATTTAACGATTTATATAAATAATAAATAAGTGTTTTGTTAATTAAAATTTCACAAGAAAAAATTATCAATTAATGCATCTAAAAATAAATATTTATATTTTGAATACAAAATAATAATATTTTTTTTATAAATAAACATGGAAGAAAATTTTTTAAATACTCAAAATCGTTTTTTAAAGGTTAAAATTAACAAAATTATTAAAAGTTTGGTTAAACAGCTGCTATTTTTACTTTTTATATATTTTCTTTTGCTGTTTTAGAAATTTAAAATTTATTTATTTTAAAACTATATATTATTTAATATTATACTTAAATAGCGAGTTTGTAAAACATTGAAGAATAATAAATGATATAAATAGAGTTTAAATGAAGATATTTTTGTTAATATATAAAAAAATGATAATTTCGATCCTTAAACATGAAATTAAATATATAATAATAACAATTTTTTATATTAAAAACTATATCTTTATATATTTAATGCAATAAATATACATTACATTTAAATGATTAAATTTAGTATTAAAAATTAAAATTATTAATACCACAAAGTTATACATTATATTAAGAATTTTTAATCTTCATACATAATCTTACACAATAAAAGAAATAAAATAGGGGAATAGTTGTGTTTGAAATACCCCCATATAATTATTACTTTTAGTTCAGTACTCATTACTTTAGCGCATGCATTCAGTTCCACTTTGTATTTACTTGCGCATTGATAATATGGCTGCAGGCAGCTTTAATTTGTATTTAAACCTCTCAATGGAGGTAGGCTCTGATGAATGATGATGAAGGTCAGCAAGCATTAAAATCTAGCATTTCAAAAATCCTTTTGATTTTCTTGATTAATTAGCAATAAGATTAGATCAAATAATAATAAAATTTCTCTCAATCTTGACAGAAGATAACTTGCTGGAATTGCTTATCAGAAGGTATACAAGAATGCCTCCTTTCCCATAAAAGCAAATGTATATCATAATTCGGCTGTGAACAACTATTTTAGTTTCGCATAAAGAGTTAACCTACTTTTCAAGCAGCTGACCAAAATTTCTTGAGGGTGAAAGTTCCGAAGGTGGAATATCTTGCTTTATCATTAAAAAGATGACAAGTTTTTTGAAAAATGATATTTGCTTTTCATTGCTTGTTCTGAGTTGATACCCAGAAAAGAGGAAAAAACATAGATGCAGATTTTTCAGAAGCACTTTTCTGAATATCTTTAGAAGTAGATCTTTAGAAGCAGGTTTTTTAAAATATCATCAAGAGTGCTATCAAAATTACCAACATTTTTCAAATTTATGAAAAAATTATAATGGACAGTAAGGAGCCAATTAGATAATCAGCTGATGAAATTTCTTGAGAGTGAAAGTTCCTATGATGGAACCTCGATTTATCATTAAAAAATATGACCTTTTTTTGTTTGAAATTGATATTTGCTTTCCGTTGCTTGTTCAGAGTTGGTAAAAAGAAAAAGGCAAAATGCAGATTTTTTAGTTTTTTGAGAGTTCAATTTAGAAACACCAAAGAAAGATTTTTTTTCCCTTTTAAAATCTGTTTTCCTTTGTACTCTGAAATTTAGATTTGTGATTAATAGATATGGATTGAAAATGTGGTGTATTTTGACGGGAGGGTCAACTCTGTAGCAGGGCATATTCAAGGCAATGGAAACACAGCGGGCCATCATTCAAAGCAAGAACACAGACCACACCTCAATTTGTGATAAAGTTTTGTTACTGAGTTAGCAAGCTGTCCAACTCAGCCTCGTCAAATAATTGCTATCAAGATAAACATGTTTGTTGCTTTTAAGGCAATTGTTTCACTCATGTTCTAACTGATTATGTTTATCAATATTTGAAAATTTTAACACCTGGCGTAAAAAAAATGGAATCGAAAATCAATTATATTACAAGTTTTTTAACATTTATAATTATATATTCAATATTCATTCAGAAACTGTAATAATGCATTCATTCCATAGTTTTCAATAAAAAAGTTATTAATTATTAATTATTGATCTCTTAGAATTCAATTTTTATATTTTACAAGACCCATAATATAAATCTATCTTGTTTTACATTAGAATTCATTTTTTATTTAAAATAATAAAGACAATAGTTATTTAACTCTTAATTGAAGTTATAGAAGCGTAGAGTGTAGAGAGGAGGAACATAAAACTGCATATAAATCCTCAGGAGTAGATAAAGTGATGATCTTATCTAATCTCTTGTATCATTTTGAATTTTTTATACCGTTGAGTCATAGAATCATACAGTAGACATTATCACAAAATTTATCACATATCATTCTTCCGATGATGGGGGATACCTTTGTTCATGTCTGGGCCAGGGTTGATATGATTTGTTGCCTCTAACTCAAATTTAAGTTGTGTTATTAAATTATCATCAACAGTGAGAGCTGAGAGAGCTTTACAAAAGAGGTTGGTCTTTTTGTCCAGACATGAAGAGCAAACTTCCTGCTAATGTATCTCAATGTGTTGGCATTTGGATTTTGGCACCCAAAAATTAAAAACGGAAAGACCATTACCACACACTTCCTTAACATTCATTTTATGTTCCTCAATCTTTGTTAATAGTTTGCCAAGAACATCAAATGTGGTTATAAACATTCATTTCTATGTTCCTCAATCTTTGTTCTTTTATATTTTTGTTTCCTTATTTATATTTATTTTGGTCCCCAGGGCTAGGAGAAAAGGGGACTAGAGTCTAGAGTAATCAATATGACGCAATTACACTACGTTTGCTGACAAAAAATTACTAACATTTACTATCAGCTGTTGACAACGTTCACTTTCATACTATGGTCAACATCATCATTTACGATGTGTTTGTTTTCGTTTTGTTTTTTGGGGTAAAAACTCCTTCAAAGAAATTTTTACTGATACACATACAACTAATAGAGAAATTATGAATAGATAAGATTTTTTTTAATATTTTTGCAGTCTTTAAAACATGAAAGTGAGTCGAAAGCGATTTTATTTTGATCTTATTATAGTATCACTTCTTTCATATTTTCTTTGGTATTTTTCTATATATATAACATAAGTTAAAATTGTTTATGGAAGTATATTTATACTTCCTGTCTTGCAGAAAGAAAAAGGAAAAAAAGACAGATACTAAAAACTGGAGGGTACAAAGGAGTGAGAACAATACTTGAAGAAATTGGAGGGTAAGATTAAAACTAAGCCAGTATTATTTTTCAAAGGGACACGACACAACAATCTGCTGGTGATAGGTAAACTTACGGAGAAGAAAATTTTTTGCCCTATTAGAATGCTACTAAAACGCATGGACATCTCAATCTGAATTACAAATTCATGCTGCTGTAATTAGAATCTCCATTTTGGATACTACCGTGGGAATTTTGAATGTGGAAAGAGAGATATAGTTTGTATAAGTCATGGTCAGGTTCTGCCAACATTGAAGAAAGATGATGATTAGTTCTACAGAGGTAAAGTAGGCAAGTAAGAACATCTTCAACCATAGTTTCAAACAAAGTTGCTTATTGACACGTTACTTTTTTTTTAAGTAATTCTTAAATAAGTTTCCCATGACACATTACCCTTTTCTTTTAACTTTTAATAATTTTAACACCTATTTTCTCCAACGAGATAATTTTGAAAAAAAATTGTTAAATAATTTGTAGAAGTTACTCTACATCTCTACCAAATGGTACAACTCTATTTGTATTGTACAGTTTTATTTTCTTACAATTTCATCCCAAACATACTCATTCACAAATTCCATTTTTATAATATGTAACTATTGCTATTATTAGAATATGTGATTCTTTATTTGAGATATCAATATACACTATTCTAACAAACATGTGTTCAAGACTACATGATGTGATCAAGAATTATGTTGTTTTGGTCACTTATATTGTAACAAAGTTGTATCTTTTCTAGTGAAATGTAAAATTTTGACACATAACATAATATGAGTAATTGATGTTACATGATCTCATGTCATCCAATAATTTTTCTTTAATAACACATTCTTAAATACAAGCGAACAACTTCTTTAAAGTTATTTGTACGTAGCTATCAACTTTCAATTACGCTTTCTTATGGCAAGTAAAAGTTTAAAAATTAAGTCTTCTAAGTATTTTTCATTTCTCTAATTTTATTTTAGAATACAAATAATATTATTCATGGATACAAGAATCAAACTAGACCGATAGATTTGATTGTAAAAATTGATAAACTA